GTGTTTATGGAAGTAAGGGGGTGCTACGTTCTTCTCAATGAAAAATTGAAATCGAATTAAAATTATGCTTCAAATAAAGGGATTATTTTCCAGTCAGTTGTTTATATGCATTATTGGGTTTCTAATGAAGCTTTACATTGTCTGATTCCACATGGAAATGAAAAGCATACACTGATGCAATATGCAATAAACTGTAATGCAATGTTGTTTCCAGCTAATTTTTCAACAAATTAAAGGCAGTTTGTACATTTTATGAGACAGGGGCCTTCAGATGGAGCGTAACATAACAGCACTGATTGATATTTGTTGTTTATCTGAATGGGTCCTGAAGGAGAGCTGGTATTTAAAATTTGAGGTCATTAAAATTTGTTACCACTTCACGTTTGTGACATCATAAGGTGTCAGGTGAAAACTGTGTACCGCTTTCTTTTGAAATTATGAACTACTAAACTAACATACATTCACTGCATTATTCATAGACATACAGTATTTCTTTTCTAAAGCCAGAATTAACCTCGAGTCAAATGATAAATTTAACTTCTAAAGCTTTACTGAATGCTTGTAAAATCTCATTACCACTCACCAGTCAGTTCATTTCATAAGAAAAGCAAAAAAAACATTGCCGTCATCAGTTCCTATGATATAAAAGACCTTAATGCGATATGAATGAAACGTCTCAGATAAATTCTCCCATTGATTTCTCTATATTTCCACACTGTAATGACAAGGCACAGGGTTGCCCTCCACAGGCAGCCAACTGACATAACAGAAATAAAAGGATACATTCTTGTTGAATATCTCGCCTGCAAAGTTACCAAAACAAACCACAGGGACTCACTTGTACTCTCAACAACTTGCGGTTGTTACCCTAACATTTTCTTTCCGACTCCCTAACTTCCTTCACCTCTCTACTTTGTTTTCTCCCTCTCCCCTTTTCTCTTCCCCCCACGCCACCCCCCCTCCTGCAGCTCAAAGTTATTGATAGTTTAAAGTTATGGGCTAATAATAAGATGGACACTGCATGGCCAGGAGCCTATTATACCCAGGTAATGGATAGTGCGGGGGTTTTGAATGACATTGCCCAGAGATTGGATGACAAAGGGTGGAGCGATTTATGGGCTACCCATAGAGACCCCCTTCCCCTTCTCTCTCGCTCTCTGTCGCTCACACACATACACACAAGCACACACACACAGCCCACCATGCTATTTATCTCTAGCCTGATAAGGAAGCAGATGAGGCATGCCTGTATTTATGGTGAAGATGTTCAGAGAAACTATTGGTTCAGAGTAGGAAGTTAGAATCAACTCGGAGGAACAGCATATCCACTCAGAACTCGGTATGCACCTCGTTGACACTTTACAATGCAAACTACATAAATACAATTTTGTGGATGTTCTTGGTTTAAATGAGGCATGACATGATATTGTCGAGGTGTGATTATTCAACCATTTGTATTTTTAAACATCTTTAAACCCACTAATTTCAAAGATGTATGGATGTTGTTGACAAAATCTGAGAAATAATTGTTTCATTCCTTCCTGAGAAACATTAACTGTGCTGTTAGACTTTGCAAATTACTGCATTGATCAAAGCTGAATTCTTCAGTGATGAAGTGGTGATGCAGTGTAACAGATACAGATATGCCCTGGATGCTACTTTCACTCAAACTGAGCATCATCTGCCATTAGTTAATGAAACTTAAAACCCTGGTTGCAGAGGCCAGCGGAGCAGACATGCACTTATACCAGGTCTACAGTATGTTTGCTCAGAATGGCCTGCTCAGATCTCTATTGAGAAAAATCACAGCAACAGAAGAGACACTTCAGACAGTGTTGTCAGGATGTAGGGGGAAAGAGGAGCAGCAGGGAGGGCATGAGGGAGTGCAATGAAAAAGGCTTGTCAACATTATCTGTTTTATTGATTTAACAGTAAAAGCTTGCCGCTTAAGCTTTATGTTGCTTTGGCTGGCCCCATTGAAAATACTACAGCCACAAATAAAAAACGATTTCCTAAAAAACTTGAGCATTTTTATTTATTTTTTATTTTTTTATCTCCTGCCTGCCAGCTCAGGTTTTGCATGCATTATTGTTAAAGTTTCACACATTTCATCATCTTTATGAGCAACCATTATGGTGGGACTATGTACAACTGTGGTCTCTCGAGCAAAGGCATCAATGACATTGGAGAGAGCAACACTGTCTTCTACAGGATAAAACTGGTCTAATGCAGTGTCTAATTTACGTAATGGGTGATTAAAGATCAGAAGGATGAGGAAAAAATGGCCCACGTTCCATGTTCAAGAGTCTACCACCACGCTAACAGACGTATGAGGCTTTACTTAAGTCCAGCAATGTTTTGAGCTCACATCAGCACGCTAACATGCTACCAAAGATAATGCTAGATCGGTAATCTTTAGCATGTATATTGTCTACCATCTTTTTGTTTAGTGTGTTAGCATGCTAATTAGCACTAACCACGAAGTACAGCTGATGCTGATGGGAATGTTATTAGGTTTCCAGTTATTTGGTCATAAACCAAAGTACTGGACAAACCGAAATTTGACATGTTAATGTCAACCTGCTGGTGTTGCTTAAGCAAAAGTCAGGTGATCACCAAAGTCATTAAATACATCCTCTGGGAAACACAAAATTTGTTGACAATCCATCAAGCAGACATTTCACTGAAAAATTTTTTTGACCTGCTGGTGGTGCTAGAACAGTATTTGTAGCAATCATAGATATGATCAAGATATTTCCCTTTGAACCACAAATGTCAACCTAATGGTGGCACAAGAGGAAAAGTCAAGGGATCATAATCAAAATATCATGACTCATTCATAGTCCATATGTTTCATGACTTAAAAACTATGTCCCGACTCCTTTCCTGGTGCAGTTTTCTCTTTTATCAACGCAGAAAACATGAACAGTACAGATGGATGGAAATACTCCCAAAACACACATGATTTTCAGGATTACCACATTAAGTCTCACTAGACCCCATGCAGACCAGAGAGAAGTGGGGTCAACAGAGTGTTTAATTGGAGCAGCTTGAAGCCTTGTAGGGTTCCTGTTGTGTCCTGACCTGTTGAGGCTCAGCAAAGACACAGTACGTAGCTCTATTATGCCAGAGCAGCTGGTTATTACCAGGGGCCTCGTACAGCTACCCAGAAACCCTGTCTGGGTTATTTTATTCATTTGAGAAATGTATTGGCATTTTCTTGCAGAGTGCAGCATGCATAACCAAAGGATGGAATAATCAGTGAGGGTTGCATGCAAAAGAGGTAGCACAAGGTAAGATGTTGGTATTTTCTTAAAATTGGGTTGTTAAATGTTGTGCTGAGAAGAGATGTTTCAGAACCAGGTCTTTAAAAGAGGCAACAGTTGCAAACATCATCACCATCTTTGTCTGACAAAAGTGTTTTTTTTTTACAATATGTGGCAGCAATAGTTTCTATTAAATAAAAGATATGAACAGACAGGTGACAGACGGACAGGGGGACAGCTGAACAAACAGAGACAGATGCGTGAAACAGAATAGAAATCTGTATGATGTGTTAACATGTGAAGCTGTAAAGTCGTATAATAGGAGCCCAGAAAAACCTTCTGTATTAATTACTGTTGACATGGAAAAATGTAATTAGATATGAGGGGGAAACAGAAACTATTTATGGCAACCGAGGGGCCTTGCTTAATGATCAGACTGCAGCTAAAACCTCTATTGATTTTCTCGTTAAATATACAGCTCAATTAAAGATACAGCTGATTAAAAGACGACTACAAGTTGCAGCAGCAGATCTGGACATGCTGAGGAAGCTGGGTAACATGGGGCCGCCTGCCGCAGAATTACATGATTTCTCCCTCACCTTCTCCCCCATCACTGCAGTGCGGTGGGAAATGAGGCTACACAGGTATTATTCTTTTTCCATGTGAAAACCAATATTTCTCAAAGTCGCGACCGTTTACGAATGGAGATATGTGAGATATACTGCTTGTGACAAAACAACGCGTTGAATTCCAGCACTAAAAGCATGAAATCAGCGCTGATAACCAACAAACAACAACAATAATGCTGACCTCTGAATACTTAAAGCAGAAATAATCAAACAAACAATACAAATCGACTTTCCTTGTTAAAATGAAGCACCTGCTTAACACAAGCCAGACCAAGGCTTTTTTCCCCTTTCTGCCTCAGCCTTGTCACTGACAAATAAAAACCTTGACAGTCTGTGTACCCTAACCACGAGAGAAGGGCAGAATTACAATGTATAATGGAAAACCTTTCTGTTTCTCATTGAAGACAAAAAAAAAGCAGTTTAAAGTCTATAAAGTGTTGGAAGTTTTTTTTTTTATTTTATGTTTTTAAGTTGCTCACAAGTTTTAGCAGTGGAAATATTTTGTCTTACATTTTTTCTACTTTATTACAAATTACGGATGACTGTTTTCAAGAATGTTTAGGTAGCAAAATTCAAGTTGTTTTTCTGTGACCAAAAGTGCTTAATCTGACAGAGTGATGCATGTTAAGATCTATATTAATATTTGCAAAACTTTTGGACATCCCGATAGCTCACAAGGTAGAGCTGGCGCCCCTCTCTCTCTCTCCCCCCTTGCCTGTCACTCATCAGCACTCACTATCGATTAAAGGCAAAAAAAACCAAGAACTAATATTTTACATTTGGATCACAGATTGTGCCCTTAAATAAATGCTTTTATTTTCTCTGTTCTATTGATTCCTGCATTTTTCTGTGGTCGGGCAAAGACCTTGTATGACTAGAATGTCAATCTTTCACATGATGAGCTACAATGATTTTGCCTTCATATGACCATCATTCTTATTTTTTTGGCTTTGTAGAGTTTTTTAAACTGTTTTACAAGGAGCACAAAACTCCCTCAGTAACTGAACAAGTAATTTGTTTGTTTATAATGTGAATATTGCTTAAGCGTCCAGATTTAGACTCAATTACGGCAACTGTGTGGGTGCATCTGCGTGTGTGTGTGTACCTGCAGGGAGTTGAGGAGGATAAAGATGTAGGCCATGACAATGGAGAAAGGCACCAAGACACCACACAGCCATGTCAATCCGAGGATGGGCAGCAACACCAGCACTGCTTTCACTGCAGCCCTGTTCTCTCACACACACACACACACACACACACACACACACACACACACACACACACGTAAGCATATATTGTTGCGCACTGGCAAACACACATAAAATTATTATCAAGCATACAACACATACCACAAAGACTCAGAACTGGCTGACTGAGTTGAACTCATACCACACCAGATAAAATTAATTAAAGCATTCCCTAAAAATTCTCCTTCCTCCCTGATCATCCTGTGCTCAATTCTGTGTTCCTAAACTTTTCAGTTCTTTTTTGGACAAAACTGAGCGGCTTTGGCAGGCTGGTTTTTCCATATACAACACTGTGCGGCTGGGAAAGCTCATGGGGTGACAACTTCCCACCTTAAATCCGCCTTAATTCTGTTTAGAGTGGAATTATCTTCCCGCTCAGGTGACCGCCAAACCGCACCAGCTGTGTGTGTGTTCGTGTGTGTGTGACATGGCGGGCGGCGAGCCCTAGTTTACTCAGCGGAGGAATGTGTTTGAATTTCCGCGACGGCTGCCACCCAGGGGTGCCAAATGGTTCAAGGCCTGCTTTGAAAACCTTCATAAAGCACCTACTGTGAGCCCCGGTGGGCTGAGGTAGTGAAAAAATATATACACTTTACATGATTTTCACTGATAGGATCATATACAAGCCTGCTGGGGGAAATCTACTGGATCACACGCAGCAGGATTTCACTGTGACGAGCAAACAACAGTGCCAAAAAAAGGAAGTGGAAGACAATGGCAAAGACAGCAGTGATAGGGCTTAAAAAGATATTGTTTCCGCATGGACATTGCAGTGCAAGTTTAGCCATGGTAGACTATATTAAAACTAGTAAACTTTTAGTTTACTTACAGAAAGTCTAGTCGATCTGATAAATAACATGCAGTTATTTAGGCTTGATTGTTACTGGTTTTGCATTAAAACTCCGCACCTCAAATGACCAATCACAAGACAGAAATATAACAAATAAAGCAAAAAACAACAAAAAAGTCCATTGTTTAGATTTATATGAAGCATTCAGCGCTATAGAACTCTATATCTATCTTTTTCTAAATTCAATTTCATTGTATATTGTCTCAGCCTAGGGCAGCAACAAATATTAGATGATAAATAAAATGAAAAATAATACAAATGTAGATATTCTTGCATCACACCACTGCAATGGTTAAGATATTCTACCCCCCAAATATTTTAGAGATCATTTTGGAACATCAATATTGGAATTAGGGTTTGATCAATGGGGTTTTCTTGAAGGACAGTACTGCGAAGTGCTGCTAATTTCGGGCTGCAGCTGTTTGAGAGGATATTTTACGTCTTCACAGCCCATTCTCAGAGTTTGCTCCTAAAATGGATTTGCAATTTTCAGAATATTATGAATGCATTTTAGTAATAATATTAATAACACCAATAGAAATGCTACCGTCCCTGCTTCTATAACTGACTGTGAGAATTCAAACAATTCTACAACTGCAACAAATTTAGTAAAATCATAATCAAACATAATCAAACTGTTTTGATGAAAAATCATATTTATGCAATATTTCAGAAATAACACGTTCTCTATACATTGGTGGAACTAAACGACGTGACATCAGTAAGGACCGTAAAATTTAAATCAGCCAATACTGTCCCAAAACATCAGAAAACTCATATCTGAATAATTTCTTTATCTTGTCAACACAAGTGGTTAAAGCTTGAAGCCTTTTTCTGAAAAGTGCTAAAGCAATCCATTCAAATTGTATTCCTATCTTGTTTAATAAATGAGGCTTGTTGTTTTAATGATGACAAATCCAATACAAAATCTTCCAGCTGTTTTTAATCTGACACCCAGTTACTACAGCTCATTTGCTCTAAGGCTTGTGGCCCAGGCAAATAATCTTAAAAAAAGAGGACAAATGGCGCCTCCTTGTGGTTTGTACCTCATTTGCTCATAGGCTTGTTCTACCGGACTAGTGCCCATGGCCAACATGATGGACCTTCTCTTGGCTGTAGAGATGGTGATAACGACCACCCTGGTCAGTACCATGATATTCACCTGAAAGAAAATGAGAGGATACAGACATGAGAAGAGGCAAAGTCAAAGTGACAGAGAGATGAGCGCAGAAGAGGTGCACTGAGATGTGAGGGTAAAGAAAATCAAAACAAAGAGAGGAAAAATAAGGGAGAGAGAGAGATACATGCTGACATATATATTACTAGGAGATTGTAAGAGTCAAAAGGAAAGATGAAAGAAATAAAGACACTTATATGTAACTACTGCTGTTCAGTGCCATTTCCTGTTTTATTGCTAACATTAACTTTCAGTCAGGCACTACAGGACAGAATCTGAAGTACGAAATGTCTGAATGGGCCTTGCATTTAGTATTTTAATCATTTTAGCCTGATCAGACTGCATAATAAGATTAGGGTTTCATTTTCTAACCATGATGATGAAGATGATAGGTCCAGCAAAGCCCCAGATAACGCCGTTCTGGACACTCAGCCAACAGTAGCCATCAGCAGAGTATTTGCCTGACGCTGAGGCCAGTGTGATGGTGACTATCAGTACTGGCAGACCTGGTGGGAAAGAGGGGAAAACAGAGGAGGAGAATCAAGGAGAGAAATAAAAGTAGCAAGACATAGATAATCAGGAAGAGGAAGGGATAAGAGGAAAATGCAGAAGGGAGGAGAAAATTTGATCTACATTTAGAGACCAAATGGTCACAAATATCAGGCTAAAATTTATTTTTGATTCATGAAAGTCTTATTTTATTCTTCCCACAACTATGGTGTATAAAATAAATATACAACATTGGATTTATGTCAATCAAAAAGAACATTTAACAAAAAAACACTTTTGGGTTTACATCCAGGAATTTATCTTTTATCATTAGACTGCAACGTCATTCACAACAAAATCCTGGATATTGACTGCACATGTGTGAAGAGAGCCATTTGGCTATTGTTAAGCCATTTTACCCCAGCCGATGAGATAGTAATACTTCATGTGTCGGTCCTCGCTTAGGTTGACTGCGACCACCTTGCTCCAAAGCAGCAGACCCTCCACCAGCATCCAGCTAAAGGCTGCCATGAAGAAGAGATGGAGCAGTGCCGCCACAAGTGTACACGCCACCTACAATCACACCAACACATGCAGACAGATACATGTTAAGTTTCACATTTCAAATGTTACGGTTAGGCTCCTGACAAACATACCAAGCAACAAGTGTCCTGTTTGGTAGTTCATATGTAGTGGGGTTGTTTTATTGTACATTACTCTGGATTCGTTAATGTTCACATAATTTGCCATGGTCTGTTTTATATGAGGAAAATTGTCGGCCTCCAAAAATCCATTCCAAATTTGCACATGACTAAAAGAAAGTTTAGCTGACCAACTGTATATTCTATACATATGCATCTAGGATGCATGTATTTATCTTGTACATTTTGCAAACAACTATATTTTGAAAATTAAAACGGCAATAAGTGCTAATAAATACAAATAAATACTCTGCAAACAAGCCAGAATCAACTCTATATATATCAAAATATTACTAGAAGAAGAATTTATAGTAGAATTGATATAAAGCATTTCACTTTTTAATTGCCAAAAAAAGATGGGAGGGACTTCTGTCCTGAAACACGCACACAAACAAAAAGTCAAGTGAAGTAACAATATGTAGCACATGATTGAACTACTTAAATAGAACAAATAGAGTTGGTTTAATGGTAAAAAAAAAAAAGGCCACACAATACATATTTCATCACAGAATAAATCCCCGCAACTGTCAAGCAACAACAATATATCCTACTAAAAGATCCTTAGAAAAAAACTGAAGCCCTCCAGGATAATTCAGTAAATAGCTCTGGATTGGCCCAAGCCATGTGTTAAAAACCTGAAAAATTACCTCTGTGAGGGTCAGTCAGCCTATACATATGAGGCCATTTGATGAATTTCCAACAATCAGCCACCTGCCCCCAGTGGTAAAGCCCACCCTGACATGACCTGGGGTCAGAGGACCAGGGGTCAAACCAACTACAAGCCATTGGTTGACAACTGAGAGACTGGACCATGTGTTCTAGCTGATGGATACGACATTAGTGGCCACTTATGTAACATCCGATGCCATACCATTTGTTTTACTAGCAATCTCAGTATGGATTTGGATTTCAAGTTTTATTAAGGTAGCAATAAAAACACAGTGCTGTGGGTTAACGTTTAAATGTATAGGAAAGTAGACAATAACTAAACCGCCATTTCAAATTCCATTATCTTGATAACAATAGCACACAGTAAGTACTGTACATTATTGATTGTAACACTAACGTTAAATATTAGTTTTAATTCACTTTCATTTGTCCCCAATCTTCCCCTTAGTATAACAACATTAAATCCTATGTATTGGCAAACATAATAATAACGTTTTAGTTGTCTGCCCATACCTTGTTGTGAATGGCTGAGCCGCTGCAGAGCAGTATCACCTGGGCACAGATCAGAGCGATGAACAGGTTCTTATGGATGGATGTCCTATCAGATTTGGGGATACTATGGACAGAGACGGGGATAACTTAGATTCTATTCACTTTTAACTTATGGTTAGAAGTGACTAGAACACTGATAATAAAAATGTTAGCAAATAAATGGTAGATTTTAAAGCACAGTAGATAATTTACGTAACAAGTTAACGCAACCAACCGAGTCTGAAAACAACAAAACAAAACTGGTGAATGAAAAATGGAAAAGCAAAGGCTGCAATATTATAAGGGGCTTTACACTTTTTATCTGACCTGTATTTATTCTTCGCTAAGCCTTGAGCTGAGTGTTATGGTATGGTGTTAAGGTAACATCCCTACTGTTAGCACGCTGCTTGCATGCTGAGATTGTATATGTAACCTATGAATGCTTTGACTCACACAATAGATTCTACTTGTTCTAAACTCTTCAGGCTCTAGATAGGGCCACTCGCTTTTCTCACTCATTAGGCAGCCACCGCAGTCCTTCCTTCACGCTTGGAAGGGGAGGGTGGAACAAGGGAGTTGTGATCTGCAACTATACTGCTACATGCCACTAAATCCTAAACAACAGTAACACTAAACATATGTGACAATACAGGGTTACTCTTCTGAATAAATACATATATTGCAGATCAAAATAATAAGTAAGTGCGAATCACCAGTTCAAGTTGACTGGTGCAATTACATGAATGAGACTGGCTCTGAAATACTGGAGATTGACAGCAAAACAGAAGCACTGGAGGAAGGATTAAAATTGTTGAGAAAGTAAACTCAGTGTTTGCAGATTAGCTAACTAGCTAGCTCCTCCATGCTATCCAGGCATCCATGCTATAGGGGTCATCAGGGGACAAACAAACTGAAAAGACTAACAGGATAACAGCAACATTGGAATTGGTTTCACGTATGATTAAATGTACAGGTACCTTGTGCTTGGAGTGACTTTTAGACCATAATTACAGCATACAATAAATATTTAATACATTCCTAAACAAAATTTTATTAGTAAATGAATTGAAGACATTTGAATACTTTAGAGATATATTCTACACCCATGTTTTTCATTTATTCCTTCCTGTCTATTGTTGGTTTGAAGGTGAGATAAGTTGAAGAGATATTAATGTAGACTTAAAAAGCATCGACAGGTTGAATATTTCCATCTCAGTTTCAGATTTCCGTTTACAGAACATTAAAAATAAACAAACAGCTGAATCTGTGTTGTGGGTGATGTGTGTGTACTTAAGTACACAAATGCATCTACATCATACACCATCGTGTGTGTGTGTGTGTGTGCGTGTGTGAAAGGCATGGCTGCACTCTCTGATTTCAGGACAGTCATAAATCGACAGGGCAGCACCTCTCCAGCAGATTGTGATCCCTCAGTGACCCTAATGTTAATTAATGGCTGTAGGATACTGCCATAAACCTTCCGAGTAGACTCACATGTAGACCACAGTAATTACTGGATTAGCACTAGTCAATACTCACAGCAACCTTAAGAACAGAGCAAGAGCAATACAGCGCCAATAAGTTATCTCGCCCTCTTTTTAGTGTGTGGGAGACAGTGTCACATCAAATCCGATGTGCAGATCTGACAGTGGCATATATAGCTTAAATATACCTTATCCCAGGTTGGTAGGGTGCATGGTTAATTTCAGCATACCTATGTTTAAAAAAATACTATGAACTTCACAGGTGGTATACCTGTTAATCCATACAAACACAATATAATGTATTTACATCTTGAGTGGCAGCAAGAACTAATTTCTAGGGATTTAAATGTTATTGATGCAATTAGAGTGTCCCGAGTGGAACCTAAATTCCCAAGTAAATAAACAAGTCATACATTGGCCAATGGGAAGCCGTTATCTTGAGCAGAAATGTTTACGGTTGATAGGTTGGTTGGTAGATTTAAAATCAGAACACTATTATACATAGATCTAATTTTAACTCTTGTGGGATTGTAAATATATAACCTTTGTTATATAACCTTTGATTTTGTGTGGCTTAATACATTTATCCATACAAAAAGGGGAGAAAGAGTGGTGTGCATGGCATTTTATTTTGGCATCGCAGGTATGAAAATCAGCTACTCACTCCAGCACAGTGAACAGCATCAAGGTCACCACCAGCGCACACAGAGACGCGCCAGAGCCGATGAACGTCAGTTTGGTCAAAATAAGCTCTTCCTCAGGAGTCCACTGGGAAAGAGGGGAAAGGTAGTTGTGTGAGGGAGAGAAAGAAAAGAGAATGAGGAGGATAATGTTATAAAAATATCACAAGTTTGATCCATCTCATCTGCCTTCTCAAACCTGCCTCATAGCTGATTTTTTGTAACAGCTAAGTGCAAAAAAATGTAGAATTTGAAATCGTCAAACTGCTGCCGATGGTTCTGCTTTTTGAATGTTTAACTACTGTTTATGTACACTTTTCATAGACAGAAAGACCAGTTCTAACAATGCATTCTTCAATAGGATATACTGGGAGTGACGCCTGCTGGTCAATACAGTGTACTACAAATCCACAATTTCAGAGGTCAAAGATCACAATTTGGATTTAGATTTCACATCAGCAACATTTAGATTTAAATGTATATTATTGTACTCATTTCAGTCACGAGAAGGAAAAAACAGCTATCATATATGATCGAAATTCATCACACCACTCATGACCTCAACCACGGTTTAAAGTCTAGTCTAGTTAACATTTTCTCTCGTGCAACCTGTAATTTAGTATGTGCGACTTTACTAGCTGCATCACAACGCATCTCGTGGTGTACCTTCGACTCGAGGTAATTCATCAGCACTGCAAAGTTGGTGGTGTGGTTACATTGACAGGAAGTGACACCAGAGCCGGCAAAGATCACCCTGCAACCATCACTGGACCAGCTGTTGGAATGATTATGCCTATACAGCACAATACATACAAGCAAAGACAGACACAAACACACACTCATCAATAGGTTTTAGAGAGGAGAGATGTTAAGTATTACACGTGAATATTTAAATATATATATATAAATAAAGGTTACGTATCTATCTGTCTAAGGATATCTAATTTTGGAATGAAACGTATCATATGTACATTTATTATATTTGATTGTTGTGTTCATGATATACAGCATCAAAGTGGGAAATATGTCCTACAAATTAATTGTACACTTCATCCACAGCCTAAATCTCTATCCAATAACCCATTTATTAATTAATTTGTCAATTATGTAACTGTGTTGTTGGTCAAACTCACATCAAGCTGAAATTCCAAAAGGCACAAACAGGAGTAACACGCTGTGAGTACTCCCCCTAGAAACAGAAACATATGTTTGCACTTGTTTTCCTTCACTGATTATTTCTATCTTAATATATTACCTCGGATGCTAACCAGCCAAAAGGATAAAAGTCATATGCTGGTTGCTGGGGAAATAGAAACTCATGTGTAGTGACATATTGCGTTTGGTTAGTTTATCAAAGAAATTTAAGTTTCAAGCCAGAACTCTAATTATTTGAGAACTTTCAAAAAAACTATACTCTGAATGCTATCCATCTTAATACGTTGTTAACATTGCAGAGCCAATTTAGCATACCTACATGATCTTATCACTTGACTGTCAACAGACTGTCTGGTTGCTCCGGACTAGAATGAATTTAGTAAAAACTTGTCTAATCAGTCTTGATGCCCCAGCATATATAACTGATATCATGGGCTTAATAATCACCGCCATGAACAATTGACTATACCACATGCGATGAGGAAAGGGTGTACTCGACTGCCACAGGGATGGTTTGAGCCTTGAAGGTATCACGGACGGTGGCTGATATGACAGCAGAAGCCAGGTGACCTGGGAGAATTCTAGGAAGGCAGACAATCTGTCTTAAAGGTCATAAACACATGGAAGGCTTCAATCCAAACTACTAGTATCCATTGTCTGAAGGATCCCTACGCTTTCAAAATAATGAAAGTTAAAGTGCAAGCACACTTTACTTAGTTAACTTTAGCTTATTATCAGAAAAGTGTGAGCATTGTGGGGCATTTTTAAGGAAATGACAGAAGAATTAGGAATTTACTTCTACTGTGCCTCAAGTCTAACATTGTGGGTTCTGCTGATTAGATGGTTGTAACAACTGGTTTCCAGAACCGATGAGCTATCATTATATCTATATTTCAAATAAAATACCCTTGCAATTTGGGATAAGGTATATTTAAAACAAGTAAACTACAGCCAACCTTTTTACTTTCTCTTGGTGACTCAGTGCAGGCTCCTGTACTCCAGAAACAATCTCACTCAGATGGCTGTAGTGGGTATGAATAAACATCAATTCCGTATATCCTGATTGGAGACAAGAGGAGGAAAAGAGCAGATTTATTTTTATCCTTTTAGTGATATAAAATATTTGGCTGAGCATCACTTTAGTTTAGTTTTCCAACACCCCTTTTACACATTAAAACATGATAGCTGCCTAATGCAAACCCATCATTCAGTTGTATTTACTGATATGCTCAAAGTTCTGTTTCCAAAATTGCTTCCAATTATTTTATACTTTATTTATAATTCATAGTCACAACTACAGTTCCATATTCTGTAGGCATCCGAACCATGAGTTTTGTGATCTGTTGCACCCCTAGTAGCAACAATGGCATGTGTATTCTAATTATTAGTTTGATCTTAAAATTGGGTGTGTACATAGCATTTGTATAGTACATCTTAAAAATATGTGTGTGGACACATTTTTCCTTTTCATTGGGTTTACCCTCTATTTTAAGTGCATATTTGTGTTTGAGTGTGTGTGTGTGTGTGTGTGTGTGTGTGTGTGTGTGTGTGTGCGCGTGCGTGTGTGTGTATTTCCTACCCAGAGTGTGTAATCTTTGGAGTTCAGTGTCAGGGATAAGCAACTCATCCTGACCACTGCTGCTGGCGGTGTGAGAGCTGACTGCAGATGGCTTGAAGACTTGACGACAGCTCTCTTCAGACAGTTTCTGCCACTTCATGTACACATCTGGCAACAAAAGACACCAGAGGATAGCCGGACAATAGTAACCATGAGTAGAAATGTAAGACTATTACAACGGAATTACAATGTGACAAAGTCAAGAGTGACCAAAAGTTTGGGCTGTTATGGTGGTAGACTTATGAGTATAATTAAAAAAGATTCCCTGAACTTGTAACCACTGCAAAAACAAGGAGATGGAGTGTAATATGACAAAAGTCAGAATAGCCTAAACATAAACAAACAAGAAAATACCAGAAATTGCAATATACAAAAGAATGCTTGCTGTTTTCTTCAAGTAAAATGTGTCATCAACAATTTTGTGAACAAATTGTTACCCTTTGAAATCCAATTTTCTTCTTCATCCAAATCTTTCTTAAATCTTTCCTTCTACATCACCACTGAAATTGTACCTCCTCCCGTATTTTGAATTAAGCACTGACGGATAATCAATGACATTTTTTATTACCTATATTCTTGGTAGAAAGACTGAATCCTCTTCCCTCGGCAGATAGCATGTCTGCAAGAGTTTCAGTGACATTGTCAATGCTCTTGACAATAGTAAACGGCCCCACGCTTACCTGTACATGAAATACAAACCCAAGAATAAAAAGTTAGACTGAGATTCATGGAGGAGAAAGGACGGTTTTTCTGGATTAAAAAACGTTATTTGACCTCATCCCTTAAAGGAGCAATGTGTAAGATATGTCATGTTGTGTATTGTGTTATCTTTTGTCTTCTCGTTTTCATGGAATTAATAAAAACAAAGTTCAAGTAAGGTGTAACACATTGCTCCTTTAAAGTGGGATCAAATATTGAATATAAACATCGTCATATTGTTAAGATTAACACAACTCGAATCTGGGTTGAATCTGAGATACACATAAGGTTCTTCCCTACAGCCCAGAAACATCTTTGGGTAAACTCAAGCTGTTATTTATTTTTAATTATTTTTTTTGGGGGGGGGGAATTGTGAAAATCAATTAAACCTTAGAGAATTTTTGGTTGGGTAAACAGATAATTCACAGGTCCCCAACTCACCCCATGCTCTGTCAGGCCCATCCACTGTGTAGCCATGTGGGGCTCCAGCATCAAACTCGCCATCTTTACGTAGTTAGTAGCAATGGACACCATGACCTCCGCTGCATCGTCTCCAGCAGCTTGAGTGCTAGCCAGTGCAGTCAAGTCTATCTCAATCATCTGGGTGAGGTAGAGGACATCACTGGAGGTGGGGAGGTTTGGGCCACTGGCCTCCAACGTATGCAGAATGGCCTGGGTCAGCTGCTGCAGCAAGGTCAGATCTCTGTCCCAGGAGGTGTTACCACTCAGCTCCTCCATGACCATAGGAAAAGAATGATACATATTTTGAACTTAATTACCTGAGGGAAAGAGGTTGCTGCTAATTCACTACTTCTGTCTATAGACCTCAGGCTCACAGTCACTGTTCATTAATTATAACAGGTTCTCTGGGATAGGATTTTGACCCAGTAAGTTAGTCCTGACAAACAGATTTGAAAGGCGTCAATTCTACGTCAAACATGGCCAACATTTTCTCCACTGCACAGGCAAAATGAAACTTCATAATGATAGAAATAGCCTGTGTTGCTTCAAAATTGTGAAATCTTTTTACCATATCAGTGTCTTATCTGTACTCTCAGGTGTTGAACTGCCTCTGCACTGATATCAGCAAGATGAGTTAAGAGATAATTTATCATACTGGACTACCAAAGTGATGATGTGCTACAATGTAACTGTCCAACTCACAGGCTTGGTGAGAGCATACTTGCTCAGTCTACTGAAGAATGGCGTCTTTGGTAAAGTGAAAGCGTCCAGCACTTCTGCAGACAGAAACAGAGACATACATTGTATGATACAATATAATGCAATCTATTGCAGAGAAACATCACAAACTACAGCAATTAAAAAAAATAATAATAATATATATGTATAAATATATTCTAGATTAAGCAATTGTAGTATTTATTACAGAACTACTGGATTGGATTGGATTGTAGTGCAGCATTACAATGTTTTGTTTCATATTATTTCCATGGGTCTCTCAGGATTAGATACAGCAGACTAAATAATCATGTTACATCAAGATTGAAATGCATAAAAATGAATCAACATTATCATTATCAGTATTATCATTATTATTATCTGTACCTTTCTTAAACTGGCAAACAGCCCCTCTGTATGAGTCACACTTGACCAGGTTCAGGCTCCCATTAACAGGGTCAAAGATACCACAATTCTCATCAGACTGAGAGCTGTGGGACACCTCAAAGTACAATGTTTGATTCTGCAAAGAATGTCCGTCCAGGAGGGAATCGAAGAATGAATTTGCTAAGACAGTGAAGTTTCCTAGTGAAGGAAATAGTGAAAGTTATTCTTAATGTTAAGTTTATCAGGAAAATTTAACATTTGGAAAATTGAGAGTCAGACAGTTTTCATTAGGCACAATATTTCCAGAACATGTCAACTATAAAATTAAAAGTAAACCACATCACAACATGTTTATATGTAATAAACTCCACGTTGCTGAGCCAACACTCCTTCAGCTAACAAGTTTTACTCAGTTAAGTAAGCTGTAACTGGTTTCGGAATGACCTAAATAAGTGCTTTCTGATCTACTATCCCTATGGCTAGTGTGCAAGTTACTATGCAATTGAAACGTATGGTTATGAAAAGATAAGTAAAAAACAGCCCTACTGTATAACTGAAAGACTGAAGGATCAATCCTGGCAACAGTTTTGTACACAAACCCTCACTCTGTCTGTAAGATGATCTTTAAAATACTTTTTTAAATGAATTCCAACTGTACTATTCCTACTGTAAATGAAAATCCCTGAAAGAGTGCAAGCTCAATATCCTCTTTGCATGTTCAGTTCCAGGAGGGGGAGTCAGTGTTTTGGACTCTCATTGCTCACTGGGGAGCATGATGTCAGAACGGGAGAAGTTTGTTTTGAAGGGTGGGATTCAAAGTGACGTGAGTCACAAAACATTTACAAGAACCATTAGGAACCCTGCTGTCTGCCAATTGCAACTTGGTCACCATCTCCTCTGTTCACTGGAGGGTGAAAACAAGAGAGAGCAAGGGAGACAGAGATGTACTTTTTCTTTAAATCTCATTACATTTCCAGTACTGCTTATTGCTGGAAACGTGTCTGTGTGTGTACGCAAGTGTTTGTTTACAGCATATATGTAAGTTTGCCAAAGCATGCCATACATTCAGAAAGTATTAGGGGTATCCTGATCAAGCTTTTCTTTCCTGATCCCAATCAGAGGCATTTAATAATGAGTATAATCATTGATTATATTATCAATACAATATATACTGCTACATTCCTCTGTGTTATATTAAACACACAGCTTGCTCTTTTGTTGTTTTAATTGTGTTTTATTTAATTACATTTAAATTTAAAAGAGATTTTATGTACTTTTTGTTAACTACTTTTCTCTCAGTATGTACTTCACTATTTAATGGTTTCCCCTTTTCAATTAGATAAGTTGTTTCATTGATGCCTCCCACTGTTTAAGACTAGCACTTACAGCATATTATTCCAAGTATTTAAGACCACCTTTTAGGTGCAACCAACCAACCAAATTACATCATGATTGGGCCGAATATGAGAGACTGAGACTGAAGTGTGGATGTAGAAGATGATGAGACAGAGCAGTATTGAGTCTAGTTACATGTGCAGTTTATTCAAAGCATTTATTTTAACCTACTTGGAATGCCAGATGGGTGGAGTTTACCACATCAGGCCAGTTCAGATCTTGGCATGTTGCTGAAAAGTGAGTAGTTTCAAAATGACTTTCAAATGGTCTCTATGTGATTGTTGTTTTTTTGCATAGCAACCACACCCAGCCATAGTGCCAAACTAGCTAAACTGTAAACCTAATTTGAAAGCGATGCCCCACTTGTAGAGTCCACTTACACTAACACTTGTATGACTTCCTCTGTCTCTTATAGTGTAAACTGTTCCTGTACTGCCCTGTATTTGGTGATTAAATTAGCTTGATCTAGGTTCTGGTAACACTTTAACATCTTCCCCTCCACCTAACAGATTTACCTTGACATGGGTTGACTCTCCAAAGCCTCGTAAGGGAGGAATCTATATCCATTGCTATTTCACTCCACTTGAACACCAGCCCAGAGGAAATGGGTGAACAATCCTTTTCCATGGCGTAGATTTCGCTGCTGTTCAGTACCCGATCCCATATGTGCAGCTCAGTGATGCTCCCTGAGAATGACTCATCCTTCTTAAAAGAGCCCCCAAAGGTGTCCTGCTCCTGTCCGATTATAAAATGGCCATCACGGCCAATGGCGTCAGAGCTTTTTAGGCTATCACCCCTAGAGACCACGATGCCATCAGTAAATAGTGCCCAGCGTCCACCATTCTGGCTCCAAGAAACGCACACTGAGTGCCAGGAGTCGTCATGGTCAAAGGTGTCTTCGTAAGGTCCATGTGTGCCATGGACCAGCAGAGCCAGCTTAACAGGCTTGCCCTGGATCAGGTTCGCACGGAGCTGGAACTCATTAATAAATGACTTGATGGAATAAGAGAAGATGGTGGAAAATCCAAAGCAATTTGGGTCGAAGCGGAGACGGGTGCAAACGGTCACTGAGCCCATGGAGGGGAACTTGTGTAGGAGACGGGCATGCTTCCTGTCAGAGCGCCCGGTGAACTCGAGAATCAGGGTCTCAGAGGAACCTTAGGTTTCACCCCAAACAGGGAGAAGAGAGAGGCATTACTATGAAGGAAAAAATGCTGGCACAGCTCTTGGAATAGATTGCACGTAATCATAAAATTCCTACTGTAAACACATGGAACACATTTATTCATTGTAGCTGAGAGTGTTCTGTGGCAGCATCGTCAGTCCCATTTTATATTCTGTTACCCTTTTTTGTGAAGTTGCGAGTAGTAAGAAAAACACTACTATAACAGAAGAAAGGGTGCTAATATGTTAATATAAAGTGCCACAAATAGCACACTGAACCTACTTGTCGGATGTGTCATGACTTTCCTGGAAATCCACACAGGCTGAGAGATGTTCAAAGATTTTAAAAAACTGGCTAGCTCTTGGCTCTCTACTGAGTTGGAGACAATGGCTAAAGCCCCAGAGCGCTGGTTGCACAGTTCACCTGCACTGTTCCACTGCAGGCGATCAGGAACATACTCATAGTAGGACTCATCGTACGTCAGGGTTCTGGCTGCCAGTGTAAAAGCTGTTCAACATAGAGAAAATGAGAAATTAGCGGAGAGATACATACCAGACAGCATCGGTAAGAATTCCAGCAAAAAATAAGTGTGACTGTGACTCATATCTGGGACATGCTATTATCAGTACTTCTGGAGTAAAATCAGCAGTAGGGCCGTGCTACTGTTGATGACAATGTTGTTGACAATGATAATGTGAGGACAAGTTTCCCAAATGATTTACCATGATGATACTGTGATGATAAAAACGACACTAGTGACATTGAGAGACAGTTCATGTCAGGTTTTGTATTCAGAATTTACAACCAGCCACCCGCCTAATGATGATGTGAATGTTCCAAGCCTTTCTGTTCAACTATGACAGACAAGTAACGTGCTGTTAAACAGAGGTGCGCCAGTCACACACTCAAGTCAAATCTCCATCCAAATGTATCGGAAATTTCCAGAAAATCAGGAGAGGAAAATGGGGATGAATGTTCATTTCCTATAGGAGATAAATTGCATCAAGATTAACAGTTGGGTGCCATTGAACCATTGCAGAAGAAGAGGGCGCAACAAGATGATGTAATTAAAAGAGCATCAGTCAAACCTCCAAGCATAGCAAACTGTGTGGAAAATTGTGGAAATATGGCATTGAAGCTTAGTTCAGTTTTGCGGCATTACGGCCAATGGCTCCCACACTTTACGCCTCTAGCTAAAACTTTAAGTCGTTTTAAAGTCGCCGATCACTGTATCCCAAAATATTAGGTAAAAATCCCCTTGTGAGTCTGTGTACGTAAACATGTGGTCCTGGAGTCACCTACTGTAGCAGGAACCACTGAGGCAATTTTCAGTAATCTGGCAGGTTTTTATATGTCTGTCTGTCTGTGGACAGATTTTGTCCAGGCAACTTTACAGCTGTGTAGTTGACAAGACTTTTTTCCACTTGCCGAGAGTTGTCACTGTCACTTTTTACCCAACCGTCCAATCCCAGAGGAGCTCGGATGGGACAAGCAAGGGTACTGGCAGAGACGTTTCCTCACCCACAAAAGCTCATGAACCCAAATAGGTGTTGTAATGACTATTTCCTATACTTTAGCCACTACTGGCTGCTAATTGGGCTAATTTGTTTTAATGTGTATTCATAAAAACGAAGTTCAGTCTTTACCGATACTGCAGCTCAGAACGTTTATTTTACAAGTCCTCTTTACTCTGTTTAATCACTTCCAGTGAGTAACTCAAAATAATAAAACAAACCCAACGCAGTCTGAGCACACTTAAAAAACGGTTTGCTCCTCTTCCTAAATTAACACCTGAGCCATGAATGACAGGAACTTGAATCACTTGAGGCCAGCCACCGCCTTTACAATACAAAAACAACGCGCCCCCTGTGGCTCGGAGGAATACTACGCAAATCAAAACATGGCTCATACAGGTGTATATAGCAACTTTTTTCCATTGTTTGCAATGAGGTGAGCGTGTAGGTGCTTTTCATCACTTTCTCTCCTTTTCAGTCAACCAATGGGGTGGGACTCGTCAACCTGGTAACCCAGAAAATGGAGGAGAAGCTCGTTCTAGTCGTGTCTGGGTCTATCCTGAGCTTTATGGTATGTTTAGACAGACACTCACCCTTATACAGTGGTGGGCTGTGTGGTCAACCCTCTGTTAACATGGCGTTAAGTTGCGCTGCTTCTTTTTACATAAAACCGCACAAGTGCTTCATCCCTGCGGCCTGCCGGCGTCTTTTTTTTTAAAGGAAATAAAGCAGTATAGGGCAAACACAAACCTTTAAATAAATTAAACTCAAATTTTTAGTTTATTTTGACTGTTTTAAAATTCAGATTTAGTGACTTACGTACCAAAGTTAAACTAGATACCATTAGTGTGAAAATGTGTAATTTGGATAGCAGCCCTTTAATGTTTAATGCCAAAGTGAAAACCTCTGGTTAGCTTACTAGTTGGTGGTTAAGGTTAGGGTTACTTATAAGGTTAGGAAGACTAGCTGGGTTAACTACTGGGTCTAAAAAGAGAAATAGAAAGTGACTCACCTGATATACAGCTTTGTAAACAAACCTGAAACATAAATTGAAGTTTAGCTCATCCTTGTATGGCACAACACTTCATTCACAGATGTGTCTTCGTTGTCCTACACCAAATATATATAATATATATAATAAACTGTGTTCGAATGGTTTGAATTTCTTTTGGATGTTTGAACACGTTTAATCCGGGATTCTTTTTTCACCTGTAAATTTGCATTAAAATGAATTGCCTACAAAATGTCATGGCGCACTGAATTACGACACAGTCAGGCAAATGGAAGCTGTTGGGATGTGTCCGCACAACTCTCAAAGACTTTACCTCGTTAAAAGTTCAATTAAAATATCCTACATGAGTGAAAACGTAAATATAAAAGATGAAGTACTTACAAGCAGGCCTAAATTGGGCAACAATAACAAGTGCATCCTGAAAAAAACAAAACATTAGTTGAGAATTTAATTCAATTTGAAGGTACTTTGCTTTCTTATGTTGGTCAAACGTAAAAGCCAATAGGAGTGGGTTGTTTGAAGCCTACCTGAATTATTCGATTTAAAAACTTTTTTGCGCGTCTTCTCATTCCAGTCGCGTCGTGTCTCTGAACGCAGCATGCAACCACTCCTTTAAGCGTTTTATTTTCAAGTCCACCGATTTTAAAGTTAAAGTTACTCAACGTATGTTTTCTTCTAAGCTGCGCTCTCTTCAGTCCACTAAAGGAGGGAAGGAACCCTCGTAGACTCCAGAGAGCATGAAGGGAGGATGCAGAGGAAGCTGGGAGTGGGTGTAACCTGCAGCAGCGGAGCAGAGGGTTACCAAAACTAGGGTTCTGGGACCCTTCCGGGGCCCTTGAGTAGCTTCCCGAGTGTCTGGTAGTAGCTAGATGCTTGCACGATGACTTAATGCACGAATGAATATGAACCCATTAATCAACTAGGACTTTATGATATAAAAATAATAATACAGTTTGGGATCCTTTAGTCTGATGCAATAACTCCCAAACTAAGGTACAGAGACTCCCATTTATATTAGTATGTTACACTAATATCTGTTCTTCGTATATCACAGTAATATTAGTAAAGTAATAATTATGCCACAGTTTATTTCCATATAAATGAACACAGTAAGGATGAATGTGTAAGAGAATAATCATGTAATTAGCAGGTTTCACTCTCAGAGACAGGCAAATAAACTTAATAACCATTAATTCCAAGCACATAATGTATTAGAGGTGAATATATGTGTAAATCTGTAATTTCAGTATTTAATTCACTCCAAGGTAGCCCATTTAAGGAATGTGTATATGACTGTTTTGATAAATGTGAAACGTTTATAATGTAAACTGAGCTGTATTCCAGTATTAACAACTAATAAATAAATAAATCAATCAATCTTCTCCTTATAGGCGCAGTCTTCACCAGGAGTCCATGCTTTACTGGAAGGTGACCTGCAGTATGAAAGGTTTGGGTCCTTGTCAAATCAAGCCACATGCATTTATTGCAGAAGTACAAGTTGATCCATTATTTTGACATGAAATTTTTACCCAGTGATACAAAAATACTGAAAGGACATAAAATACCACTTTGTTAAAGTACATGTATTAAGAAGAAACACTAAGTACACAATTTTCTCTGGAGTGCAAATTGTTGCAGGACGCGTTATAACAACATAAAAGACTTTATGAAAATATGAGAACCAAATATAGCTTCATACAAGAAAGAAGAATACAGCGGAGAAGGTCAGAATGCCTTTCATTATTTTTTTCTTTTCTTTCCTCAAAAACACTACCTGTGCTGCTGCATAGTGAAATCTTTCATGTTTGAATTCATTTAAAAAAAAAAAAAAAAGCAACAAACAATAATTTAGAGTCCTCTGAAAAATATAGTACAACGTAAGAGGCCTGGTACAGCACAAGTGAACATTCTCCTTACAGCCAACTGTGCCTAATGGTATTTACCCATCATGAGTGACCTCATTAAACTGCACATTCTGGTGAGTGAAGTGTTTGTTCTAATACTTGTATCCAAAATATCTTTAATGCTCTTAGTAGCAAATGATAACTGGAGTTAGAGTGGGTCCTCTTCCACGGACACTGCCATGTTGAACCATCACGTTTGTACAGTAGCCCTGAACGGATAACCCAAACACTGGCTGTAGATAGGGCCTTTCAGGTTTTATGCAACCATCATAGTTTCTCCTACGCGCCTGGACAGGGAATGAGGCAAGGGCGTACTACACACCAACAACACATCTTGACAGTAGTGCTTTTTACACCCTATCAGAAGTGACACAGTGATAGGAATTATTGCTCTAGTTGGAACATATTGAATTATTTTGTTTGCCTGCATTTATGATTTTCTTTGTAATCCAAAAAAATAGCCCATGAAAATATGCAGATATTTAGATATATTTAAAAAGCAGAGTAGGTTGTATGTTAATATAACACTTTTTATCAACTTGGATGGCGACACTAAAGAAGTCTCTGCAGTGGCTGTTGTATGACCCACTTGTTATTACCAGCAGCAAGCTCACTTCAAACTTTTCAAGATATCAGCAGTTCATTTCTACAGTAAATCGTACACGATGTGAGTGCATCATGAAGGATAAAACATTGTACAAATGCACATCACACCCAGTGTGGGCTGCCTTTGGACGACGCACCAGAGGGGAGAGAGTACACTATCTTACTCACGACTTGATTTCTAACAGCACTGTAAGTGGTAGCACTCTCTTTAGTTAACATTTCATCTTCTGCGCTCTTATCTGAAGCGGCAGAGCTTCTGCCTTCTCCAGCTCCCTGTTGGTTCCAGGAGGACAGGGACTGCAGGGCAGAGTAGAGCTCGTCTCGTGCATCAATGACGCTCTGAAGACAGGGAAGCTGCAGGGACAGCGTCAGTGCTACCTCCTTGGACAGACCAGTGATCAGCTCATCAACAGCCTTGGCAGAGGAGGAGATCAGCTCTCTGCAGCTGCTGAGGTTGGAGTCTCTGTCTTTTCCTGGAAGGAGAGTGACAGTCAGGTAGAAGGAGTGACACAGACAACAACAATAATCTGGTTTATTTTGTTGAGGGTACTTTTGTCCATGCTGCCAGTCACTTTGCCAGAACACAGATATTACATCAGTGATGATGAAAAACAACTATAGCTTTAATGCCATATTATAAAACTGAAGAAGCTCTGATTGGCAGAGACACAGGCAAAGCTGTTATGAAACACCCAATAAATCCACACTGCGTAACAGTGCATTATACATAAGAACTACATACTTTGATGCAAGAGACAGCATTTTCTAAGTGGTGTAAAGTATGACAGAGGGCTTCACCTCGCAGGGCGGCAGACAGAGAGGAATGCAGCTGTCTAATGGCCTGGTTCAGCTGGAACAGCTTGGCGGCTGCGGTCCTCAGTCCCTGCAAATGAGAAGCTGAGGCCTCCTCCCCCTCATCCACCTCCTCTGGGTCAGCGTCCCTTGCCTGTTTGAAAACATGAACACACCCAAAAGTGAATACAAGACAGAACAAATAAACAGTACTAAATGTAACGCATAAACACATACACATGAAATATCACACCCTTGGACAATATATAATTTCTTAAGAAAAATTCCCCTTTCTCAGTTATTAACCACTAAAGAGTTCTTAGTAGCACCAACAGTAATGGCTCGAGGGAGTGATACTCAACATATGATCTTATCCTAATATCCTCCAACTACTTTTTCCCAATTGGACTTGAACCAGAGACAGATGCATGCAAACACATGCACATACACACACAGTTGCAAATGATGTCACCGAATGAAGGGCTTCCATGGTGATGTGTCCTTTTCTATGACTTAAACCTAAAAGCCTCCTTCCCAGTTTACTACAGCACACAGCAGAAGATGTTGTGCCATATCCTTTACTCCAGCACCCAGTTCAATAAACAAGCTATTTCACTCATGTTTAACTTCTTTAACAAATTATTGGGTTTAATACGTTTGTTTCTACATTTTCCTTAAATAAAACAACATAAATGTGTTACATTTTGACCACAAAGTGTAATGGCAATCTCATAACTGCTTAAAAAAGCCACTTTCCCCCATTTATAACCAACATTTGAATCGCCCTTTTCTAAAAAAGGTGGTACATTAACTATAAGAGCACCATTTTTTGGGTTCAGTAAATGACAACGTCTACAACAGTAGACATTTATAGATGCGTTTATATCGACAATTATGCACGTGTACAGTCCTTGGTTACATGAAAGAAGATGCCTCAGGCTATAACTCAGGTTTATTTGACTACAATAACACTGTGGGCAGCAAAATGCCCCTGCGCCTATATGTGTCAATGATTGGTTTTAACAAAAAAAACTGCTAGTTTGTGTGGCTAAGATAACGGCAAACAAGCCTGTTAGCTGTGACTGATGCCACTTCATTCAACACATTCATTACCTGAACGATCGTCGAGGGACGACTGCAGAGAGATAAGCCTACAGAGCATTGAGCTTTACAGGAGCAATAAAGGGTGAGTGGCATCTTTAACAGGCCTGCTGTGGGTGTGGGTATTAATCTGTGACATTTAAGCCTGTGTCAAGATGGAAGATTGTTTTTCAACCTTTACATATCCAAGGAAGCTTTGTTGAGCATGTATTCGGTCTTTCAGACACAGTCTACCCAAATAATTACCAGTAGTTTTTGTAATGAAGCCGCAGATAGCCAATAGGTGATACCATTAATCGAATTCTTTAATTTATAAATGTCAAAATTCTGAATTTCTTATGTAGAAATAAATTATTGGCAAACTAGAATATGAAACATCATGAAACTGTAAAGGGTAATAAATTATTTTAAAAGGGGAGTTACGGTTTAGACAATGAAGTAATAAAAATATACATCCACAAAAGTACAGCTTGGAGAACAAAATGTGTTGTGTCGTGTCATTTTCTGGTTAAGTGTATTTCAAGCATTTTGAATTAATAAATAAAAATTCCAGTTTGGAAGAGGTATTTTATGCTAATTATGCTCTCATTCAGAATGACTTGGTGCTCCACTGTACTTAGACTGTAGAATTCAAAAGGTTGTTTAGTACATCAGCGGGTGCAAAACCCATACTCACTGCAGCTCAAGGTTTGTCTGCAAGTTTGTCATCTCATTACTTGAATTGGACCACTGTTCTGTTATTCTCTGTACTGCCTGTTACGTATTTTTGTGTGGATTTCCTCAATGGTTTTGAACGCTAGAATTTATTTGCTGATGTTGTTGGGGAGGGGATTGGAGACAGACTACATTAAGGAAATCTGATTTTAAAGACCCAGTGTGTTACATTTAAGAGGATCTATTGTCAGAAATGGAATTTAATATTCATAGGTATGTTTTCATTAGTGCCTAATCACCTGAAAATAAAAATCTGTGTGTTTTTGTTACCTTAAGAGTGAGATGTTTATACCGATATCTACAAATGGAGCAGGTCCTCTTCTACAGAGTCTGCCATGTTTCTACAGTAGCCCAGAACAGACAAACCAAACAAACAGTGCTCTAGACAGGGACTTTTGTGTTTTTCACAACCACTGTAGTTTCTACTTCACACTTGGATGGGGAGTGGTATTCATTTGGTTGCAATCTGTAACACCATTAGATGCCACCACATCATAAGCAATGGCACAATCAGACTTCTGTGTTATTTTTCAAAGATGCATGTTTAACTCCTAAGGAATACATTTTCATTATTATGAACAAACTACAGAAGTGAAGATTAGTAAAGGAAGAGGTATTTTGTGGTAGATTTCGCTGCTGAAACTCACCATGATATGGCAATGCATGTAGCTCTGCAGAGCACGGGCTAAGTCAAGCATCTTGGATTTTAGGCTCTGCAGGACCTGTAAACAGAGGTGGATTATCAATGATGACACCTAGAATTAAAGAATATTTACCAACACCTTTATGGAAAGTAAATTATCAACACAAAATCCAATGACATAACCAAGACAACTTGTGTGATAGGATGATTCAAAAATTTAATTCCCCTACAATGAATGAGATAGCCTGGTTATGATCTCTTACTGGGTTTCTGGGGTAGGACAACTGAGCCTCTCTCAGCATTTCTCTGGTGATGATGAGGGAGTCCTCTAAGAGAGAGTGGACGCCTTTCTTGGTCCCCTTTAGCAGGCACATGACAATGGATTGCTGAAAAGATGCAATTGTGTATGAACAAATCATATTTGTGATAGCACTTTTCTGGTCAGTCACCAAGAGCTACAAAATACAATTAACACAACAAACAAAGATATTGGTGATGGTTTAAAACAGAAAATGAGGAGTAAAGCCTGACTGATATTGGATGTTTGAGGCCAATAGATCCTGATATTTGAGAATTTAAAGAAAAGTCTGATAAAGACAATCAATCTTGATACTGATTTTGTTTTTAAAACAATTTAGGATTTACTGGCATCTAGAGGTGAGATTGCAGACTGCAACCAACTGAAACCCCTAGACTCAACCAAGTGCGATGGAGAAACTCGCAAAACAAATGTGGCACTGTTTTTTAAATGACCTCAAACCTAGCATGGCAATTCTGTACTACAATGTATTGTTACTTATCAGCCAACATATACACCAATGTGACATTTCTGCAATAATCTAATATCGGACTGGTTGATTAATCGCTCTCTCCTCCTCAGTCCCCTTTTCTTAGTTTTTTAAATATTTGGTTTTCAATGATAATTGCTCATTACACTACATGTTCCAGAGATCACCTGTCTGAGTCTTTCAAAGTGGAGGTTCTGTAAGTGAGTTTCTTTCTTTGGTTCAGTTATGAATATACTTATGATATACCCTGTGGTTGTTTTGACTGCTTTTTCAGGAAAGGGTAAAAGTAAAAAAAACTAAAATAAAAACTAATACAAGCACACAAATGTGATAGATATATGCTAATCACTGTATTGAATAAAACTAAACAGAAGAGAAAACAATACAACAGAATTGTATCATGTCCTTTACCACCCTCCTTGCACTAAATGCTGTAGACCTTTAAAAAAAGACTAACTCTGAATTCCAAACATTTCTTAACATTTCCCTCCGTTTACACAACATAACGAGATACCACTGCACTTGCACATCAAAATCAAACATGCTGTATCCTTGATCCTCAACAATTTCCCACCCTGTAATGTTCCTTGTTCCGAGATCCACACAGCGAATATTCCATTCTCCAGTATTGTGGAATGGGGCTTGATTATTGTGGACCCCAGAGCTTTGACAGGGATAGCAGCTGCTGTGGTATTAATGGTGGTGTTACCTTGCCTGTGGCCTGGGCACCCCACTCCATAGCATTCAGCTGCATGCCTGTCATTGCCGCCAGGTGGCTGAGTGCAAGCAATGCTGCATCCAGGCACTGACCGCTCTTCCTCCGTGCCTCTGTTACCATTGACGTGATCTCAGATTCACAACCCTGGATGGGGAGAAAAGTTTCATTTTCAGTCAACATCAAGTCAGCACAAACAAACAAGTTGAATTAAAATTGATTTAACAGTAAATCAATGCAAGCAAGCCAACAAAACGGTCGACATAGTCTGAAGGGGTCAGAAAATAAATTAAAATGCTAGAGAATGTGAAAAATCAGGAGTGAGAGAGGAAAATTGTGTGTTTAGGGGCTGAGGCTGGTAAGGAATTTAGATTTTTTTTTCTCCATATATTCATGTTCTGTTTGGGGCTCAAGGTTGAGAATTCCCTCCGCTTGGTCATTTCCATAGACAGAGCTCAAACAGCTCAGAGCTAAGACACGTCAATTAATGCTGTGCATTTTGATTAGCCACCCCCTGTCCAAAATACACTAAATTGAAAATTATTTTTCAGCTAACATTTTGCACTCTTTTCAACTAATTTATATACTGCAATTGCCATGAAAAACACAATATAATGTCGCTGCATGGCCATTTATGCAGTCTACTTTTTGGGGTTTACCTGAATAAGCAGCTGGAAGAATCCTCCCATCTTCTTGACTTGGCTCTTGAGTTCCTCAGCAATGGTGTAAAGCAGGCCTGAGGAGGGTTTAACACTGGCCAACCACTGCATGGTAACGAACACTGCGCTCTCTATGGCTGTGGTAGCCTTGACCAGCTGAGTCTGAGCCACCAAGTTACACATAAACACTGCAGGAGAAAAAGCCATATTTACAGTTCGGCCCACCTTTGGTTCACAGTTAAGCAAAAAAAAGAGAAAAGGTAATCCTGGGCCTTTCAAAATAGTCTGCAAATTACCTGATTACAATTACAAAGAAAAATAATATGCAAAGTGATCTTCTTTTGACCCATTACCTGTCTGTAGTTAACTATATAAACTTTAACTACTAACTAATTAAAACAGAAGAACCAACTTGTTTACTTATTTGGACCCCAATTACCTTGCTTTTCTCACTCATAAAAGACAGAATTCTAGGTTGAATCTCACCGTTTTCCTGGTTGTCATCATCCAGGCTGTCATATAGTTCAGATATGGTCGAGACCGCCATATACACCAGGTGCAGATCAGAGGCCAGTCTGTCTGCCATGGTCTCTTCGGTCCCACTACAACCACGCAAACGGGCGACTGAATGGCCAATAAGCTCCTTGCAGATGCCAGGCATTGCAGAGTTTGTGCTGATGGAATGGGTGGAGGGTGGTTTGACCACACCCATTAGTCCTGGGACAGACACAGTGAAGAGTTGGGGCATGCAGAGATGACCTCACAAGAAAAGACTAGATAGCAAAAATTCACTTTCACAAAAACAAGTGTAGGACCTAGTTTTTATATTATATGGAATCATTGCATTTATTTCCCCAATTTTTAATCTGTGTAGCATCTTACAAATGTACATGTTTTGTGCAGATAAAACAACCTGTACCCTTCTGGCCCTCTAAACATCAAAACCAGGTTTCTGTGCACTGTGCAAGTTCACCAAAGCTTATATTAGATTCCGGTAAATACTGTGTGTTGATTGTTGACACTTGACATATTTCCTGATAACTATTCCCCATCTCAAACTAAATTATAAAAAAGACTTATGGATTCATACAAACAGAAGGGGTCTCGGCCCATCTCTGCTTTCTATCAAGCTTTGGATGAGAGCAGGGGGGAATCAACTCTATATAAAAGCAAAATGGGAAGCAGAACTAAAGATCCAAATACAAGAGGAGGAATGGTATCACATGTGCTAGACACAATGTACATCTACAAATTCATTAATATGGAGGGAGTTCTGCTGGAAAAACCTAACTCGCTATTTTATAACACCAAAAATAAAATCAAGGCAACTCGCTATACAGCAAAACTGCTGGAGACTGTGTGGGAGTGTGGAAGCAGACCATGCACATATCTTCTGGAACTGTACAAAAATGAGGACATACTGGCAAAATGTTAATTTAGTTGTAAAAAATGTCTTGGGATATGAAATCCCAAGTACTTGTCCAGTGATGTACCTTGGGAATATTGAGAAGGTTGTAATGAAAGAAGATCTGTACTTGACTAAAGTATTCCTTGCAGCCAGTAAGAAAGTGGTCACAAGAAACTGGCTCAATGTAAATATCCCAAAACAGAACCAGTGGTTGGAAATTGTCCAGGAAACCTTTGTTATGGAAAAATTGACATACCTTTTGAGAGTCAAAGAGAATGTATTTGAAAAGAACTGGGAAAAATGGAACATTTATATGAGACGTGACACCAACTGAACAAATGCCAAATGGAACAGTGGACTGAATAGTGGATCATCTCCAGACAGTTTGTTAGTGTTATTACTATTGTTATTTTAATTTGTATCTTATTTGCTGTACTGTTTTGTCTATATGCATGTGAAAACTCAATAAAAAGTTAAGTAACAAAAAATTATAAAAAAAAGACCTGCTAAAAAATCTGCCTCATGTGACAATGGCTATTTAAAATATGGTGTTAATCAGAAAGCAGAACATTTTCAAGTCATTTTGTTCAGTGCCTTACCAGCAGATTGTGAGGAGCTGTTGTGAAGGCTTTGAATCGGATGGACCCGGATCTCGTAGAGGCGCCCTGAGATTCTCCTGCTCTTCAACAAGCTCCTGCTCCTGATGGCAAACAAACCATGCAAAGCAAAACCCTGTGAGTACCCTGCCAACAGTTTATATTAACATTAACATTCATAATTATTAGGCATGCTGATGCTCTCATTCAGAATGACTTCGTGCTCCACTGTACTTAGACTGTAGAATTCAAAAGGTTGTTTAGTACAGCAGCGGGTACAAAAACCCATACTCACTGCAGCTCAAGGTTTGTCTGCAAGTTTGTCATCCCATTACTTTTTTAACTGAACCACTGTTCTGTTATTCTCTGTACTGCCTGTAATGTATTTTTGTGTGGATTTCCTCAATGGTTTTGAACACTAGAATTTATTTGCTGATGTTGTTGGGGAGGGGATTGGAGACAGACTACATTAAGGAAATCTGATTTTAAAGACCCAGTGTGTTACATTTAAGAGGATCTATTGCCAGAAATGGAATTTAATATTCATAGGTATGTTTTCATTAGTGCCTAATCACCTGAAAATAAAACAATCGGTGTGTTTTTGTTACCTTAAGAGTGAGATGTTTATACCGATATCTACAAATGGAGCAGGTCCTCTTCTACAGAGTCTGCCATGTTTCTACAGTAGCCCAGAACAGACAAACCAAACAAACAGTGCTCTAGATAGGGCCTTTTGTGTTTTTCACAACCACTGTAGTTTCTACTTCACACTTGGATGGGGAGCGGTATTCAGTTGGTTGCAATCTGTAACACCATTAGATGCCACCACATCATAAGCAATGGCACAATCAGACATCTGTGTTATTTTTCAAAGATGCATGTTTAACTCCTAAGGAATACATTTTCATTATTATGAACAAACTACAGAAGTGAAGATTAGTAAACAACCAGGACTGTGGCTATAAGGCTTAGACATGGGTTTAATGGACTCAGAGAGAGAAAGAAGGGATGAAGGAACCACAGAGCCTGTGCCATGTTTCATTTGGCTGGTCTGCTGTTAACTCGGGCACCACCAGGAGCACCATAAACATGCTTGACAAGAATAACAACAATGTTAGGGGAAAATGTTGGGGGTTCTGCATGTACCATAGGTGCTGTGTGTGCATGTTTTGGTTGTGGGTTGTAGTGGAAGAAACACAGAGACCCTTAGTGCCCTTTCCTTTTCTAAACTCCTTGGCCTGGCCTTCATGGAAATTAAATTAATAAACAGAGGAAAAAGAATAAAGAGGGAAATATTCTGTGGGCAGCAAACTTCACATCAACTTTTCACGAGAGAAAGAAGGATGTGTCGAATGTCAAAAATATGTGCTGGGTTGTAAATCACATTGTGGAAACAAGGAGGACTTTGTGAAAATAACCAAAATCTTCCAAACTGTTGGGCAAATGGATGTATATGGAAAGTTGAAAGGTATGTGGATGGAACACGGAAAATCATTTTTTTGTCAAAGGCATTGTTCACATTAACAGAGGCTGTAAGTTCAGCTGAGCATGAGGGCTGCGGGTTTAACACCCACACACTCTAAGGCAAAAGCACTGTCAGCTAAGCTCTGGTACTGTAAACAAGTATGGTGGACAGTCGCAGAGACTGTCCTGTACTTCTCTCAAAAACACTTTAGTGTGTGAACACTTACACCTTCCAAGTGATTGGACAAGAATACCAATTAAGTCTCTGAAATCTAATGTAAATGTCAGGTGCTGGAAAGAGGGATTGATGGCTAGGAGAAGAGAGGAAGAGCTGGATAATTACCTTCTGCGTGAGAAGGAGGAGGTGGAAGCAGAGGAGGCCGATATATCTTGCTCCCACTCATCATCGGGGTCATAAAACACATCGTCATCTTTAGAGGTGGAATCCCCCTGCGGAGAGTAAACTATTGCTGACATGCCAAGTCTTCATTTACTCAACTTAATGAGAAAAACGCAGCAAAGTGAGGCAGCATCCCTCTTTCAAGCATTAAACAACCAATTCTAGACTGTAAATAAGGTCATATGCCTGGGAAATTGGCAATTGCACTTGAACTGATGTCAGACTCTGAATATGCAGAATGAGGAACAGACAGGCTGGCTGGTTGAATATGCTTCACTCAACAGGCATCATACATCAGCTTACTAGAGCACTGATATACTAGAGCACTAAAATTAAATAAGCAAGTATGCACAAGCTTCCTGTGAAATTTCAAGCATTTTGTTGGTACGTGTCGATAGTTTATCAGCTCGATCACATGTCTACTCATTGCAACTAACGGCAAATTGGCGTTCACAATTCATTTAATTTGCAAATATTTAGACAGGTGGAGGAAACTGTCATTACAAAAGTTTCCACACCAGGAATGAGCTCTGTTTTACTCCCATTTTCATTTCAATGAGAGTAACATTTGAATTAGTCAGGTGTCAAAACACATTAAGAATTGCATGTCTTTTTGAAGTTTTAAAGACATTAAAACCTTAAAACAATTGTGAACTCAAAACAATTGACGACTTGGAAGGCAAAACTGATTCAAGGCAGACCTGCTCGAGTTCCCTCATGGCAGCCATGTTGTTCTGGAACTTGTCCAGGCTCCAGAAAGTTGAGATTCCCAGCTTTGTGTTCTGAACCCGCACCTGTAGCAGACCACCCTGCTCCAGGTTCTCGTCAGAGCTTTCGTGTCTACAAGAGAGGAGAGTCAAATTATTTTTAGTGAAGACAATACCTTCTTCCAAACTGGGCCTGTTAACATTAATGTCTAATAAATCACATATGTAAACTGTTCGCGCAGTCTTCATACCTGCTGAAGACTGTGTTTTTCCTAAGTTTAGCACTGATCTTATTGGCTTCCTCAATCATCAGGGACAACTTCATGGTATCCCACTGTGGAGGAGCTGCAATAAAGAAATGAAACACATAACTTCACCACAGCCAACAGCCCCCGGTCAAAGAGCATCTGGCTTAAATGGTCTTTATTTCAGCCTGACATGACAGACTCTGCAACAAGAACATCTATAAATGTGGCTGTAAGTAATAAGAACTCCTTGACTCCTCTGTCTTTGGCCTGAGTGAGCGACACGTATAAGGCATGTCTATGCAAGGGGGAAGAAGAGTAAGAAGATAAATACAAAGATACATTGTAGTGTTCTGTTCCACTAAAGATATGTCTATTCAATTGTATAATTATGCAAAGTTACATTTAAATTCTTTGTATACATTGCACAGCAGTACTGCAGAGTAATCACCATGCATATGTAGAATAGTTTATCACTGGTCAGTAAATTACTAAATGAGCTAAGTTCTATGGCCTCTCTGCCTCCATGTTTGCTCCTATTAAATTGATGTGAAGTCCAGTGTTTATGTCACGTCTTGGCAAACTCTCTCTACTCTAATGTGTGTGGCTTAAAAAGATGAACCCCACCCATCTGGTACTCCACTTACATGGTGTGAATTGTTATTTTGGTTCCCAACTCCAATATGTACTCAGCAGTGACTTGAAAGCTCTCACCATTTCGGGGAGTGTGATTTTCTCTCATGGCTCGTTTCTTCTGCATCTCCTCAAGCTCTTTGCTGATCTTCCTCTTCTCTGCCTCCAGGGCCTCAACAATCTTCGCTTGACGCACATGGTGTTCCTCCATCGCCTGGAGTGAATCATGGTGAATGTACACAATATTAAAAACAACTAGGCCAAAACATTTTGCCAAGTGCCAAGCTTTACCACGACTCAAAACACATCCCAAATGGCCCGTCAGTTAAACATAAAACCCAGTCTCTGGCTAATTTTAGATAATCAGTAATCCTGAATGAGCAAATGAAGGAGATGTTTTCATGACATTTACAGTTACAGGTATGATCCAGTTTTTCCTTACACAAATGCCAAAAGCTGAATGAAATAAGATCTGTTTAAAATCTTCTCTTAGATACTGCTGCTCTACCACCCAATACCCTGGCACCCGTTTCTTGCAGGGGGAAAAAATGGGATTCGCTCCCCAGTGTGAGGGCAAGAAATGAGATCTGTAAAACTGTTCAATTTTCTATTCAAACCTTTTTAAAAGGCTGATAGACATCAATAGCAGGACAAAGCAGAGTAGACAACTTTGTGTGTGTGGGAGTAATTTCCCCCTTTTTTTTTTTTTTTTTTTTTTTTTTTTGACCGAGCAAAACCTGCCCAGCACAATAAAAACTTTCCAGGAACCTAAAAGAGCCAACTTCATTAAAGCGAGAAGGAAATTTAACATTCCCAAGTGCAGTTCTGGCTTCTGACCTGGGCCTCCATGTGCAGGCGGAGGCGTGTCTTGTGGGTGTCCACCTCCTGCTCAAGCTCCAGCTTGGCCATTTTCAGCTTTGCCATCTGGCTGGCCACCCTCTGCTGGTCCAACTCCTGCTGACGCTTCCGCTCAGTCTCCACATTCTGAATGAATTATATTTTGGCATTATTTAGCATTGGTTGCGCACATTGACTGGGTGTAGGGATATACAAAAAAGATTATACATGATAAGAACTATTTGATGGTTCTTTAATAATATAATATTGTATACAAGATTTAAAAAAGTATACTTGATGATTTCAATTTGTAATTATAGTTTTGTCAGTTTGGTCACACCTTTATGCAAACTGATTTCCAATAACTACAAGAGCAGAACAGCTAAAAAGAAATGTCAAAATGTCAATACCAACAAAAAGTACATTGGTCAGCACTATAGTTCCTTGCAAATGGACATCATTTAATAGTTAAGATCCCCTAAAACGATCATAAATGAAAGAGAATGCCCAGAGGAAGTTTTGTGTACCAGCTCTTTCTCCAGGCCTCGGATCCTGTCTTCATAAAGTGCCTTTTGGTCTGATAGCTCCTTCTGGGCCACCTCTTTTGCCATTTGGATTCCCTGCATCATCTCCTGTTTCGCCTTCAAATGGGCTTCTTCAATTTCTGCTTCCAGCCTGGGACACACAAAGATGGATTAAGGGAGTGACGATTTTGATTATTAGATAAATAGATGTTGCTCTGAAACAGCATTTTTTTTAAAAGATTAGGATGGCCGGTGAAGTGTTTTTTTTTTTTGCTCAGGTTTTTCGTACTCACTGAGCTCTTTGAGCTGCAAGCAGCTCATTTTTGGCAAATTCAAAGTCTTTATGGCCATCGCCTGCACTTGTCCAGCATGACACCCGCTTTCCAGACTGCACCTCTGCTGGATGGTTGAAGCGGAAGTAGTGGTCTCCACCGAGAATCACCCTATCTCCCTGGAAACCATAACCACAGAGATGAGAAGAGTTAAATTAATTAATAAAATGGATAAACGGGTTGGTCGTGATTGATTTAGCTTGTGGGTTTAATTAAGAGAAAATTACAAATTAGTACAAAGAAAGCCTTTGCATAATCTTACTATAAGTTACTCCATAGGATAATGCTAAACAGATGGGTTAGATCTTTTTGATGTACTTACATGATGCAGGACAGTGGATTCAGATATGAGGTTTCCATTAACAAAGGTTTTGGCGTTTTCCATGGGAGTGACGCTGACAGTGCCCTGGATGTTGGTTATAACACTGAAACAAAACGATAAACAAAATGTCAACATCACTGCAGCGGTGCAATTCTGTTGAATAAGGACATATGACAAGACGTCAGACCACATACTATTTTACAGTTTACTTCTGCTCTGCCACCACTGGCATTTTGTAATGTATAATCCCTCCAGCGACTCATTTTTACCAGTGTTGGTCAGCAATGAGGGCTCCTGTCAGCTGGATGTCATGGCTGGACTCAGACTTGAGCTTGCCCACTGTGGTCTGACCCTCTTTGATCATGTAGAGAAGCATCTCAGACAGCTGAGGATCCTCGTTCAGGTTCACAAGGTTGGGAAGACGATTGTCCACTTTGAATGTCACACCTGCTTTCTGAAAAGACAGAGAAAGTTTCTGAGCACTTTGTTCACACAGTTGTTATTAGTGTGCAGACACAAGAATATTTATTGCAGCTTGTTTCAAGGTTTGTTAGGGTCAGCGTGGTGAAGGGATTATTGTACTTTTGGACACAGTGGATGGGAACCTTGAGACAGCAAAATGCAAAGTACTTCATGTATAAAAAGGTAAAAAAATAAATTAAATGAAAACAAATGTTATGCTCAAAAGAATTACCTGCAACTCTTTCGTCTCTTCACGTTTGCGAATTTCAGCTTGCTCCAGTTTCTCTCTCCATGCCCTGCCAGAAATTAAGATAAAAATTAAATTAGCCATAATGCTTTAATAGACTGATTATACACTAATGAAAACATACCATAGGAATATTAGATCTCATTTCTGCCAATAAATCCTCCTAAATGTTAGACACTGGACCTTTAAGATATTCCCAACTGAATCAAAACCAACTCATGCAAACATTCTGTATTTACATTTGTAAGAAAATATCATGACTGTGACATGAGTATGTACGTCACTTTAATACGAGGGTTCTCTAAACTGTTTTAATCAGACACAGTATTTACTGTGACCCGCTCAAAAAGGAGACAGATAATATCTGGGTCTGTTGCATCAGAATAAGAAAAATGAAAAAGTTATAATTACAGCACTGGACTAATACTGACCGGTTGGCCTCGACCATTTCTCTCTCTTGCTGACAGAGTTTGTTCCTCAGGGCGCAGATCTCCTGCTGGAACAGCCTGACGCGCTCTGGTTCAATGCCCTGGGAGCTCATCTGGGCTGCACGCAGCTTCTCCACCTCAGCCTTCAACTCTGAAAACACACAAAGTTTGTCCCAAAGGCTTTGTAAAGCTAAAATATATATATCACAGTTAAGAGCAAATATACACTTAAATTAACACAAATCAATATGAAATTGCAGATTATATTTTAATACATGACTTTAACAGATGCTAGAGATATATATAGAGAATATTCCAATTTTGTCAGTGACCTTATTGAAGACAATTTTTTAAGCAACTGTGGCCTAATTTGTAATATATTTGAGTCATATTAACTTTGAGAATCATACACTGACAGGTGATGTGAGAAAACCCCACAGCAAGAGCTCCCCTTGCTGCTAAAAACGTCAAACAGCAGGGCAATCATCTTATGAAAAATAATACTTGCATGACAGTTAGCCGCCATGTGCAGCTGACAGTGCATAAATATGGCCTGGAGGCAAGGTTAGGGCCAGGCCTTAATTGAACTGGGTAGTGAATAAGCTGGTGATGGATAGATGGACAGGCAGGAGGGTGTGTGGGAAAGAAGGAGAGCGAAGGAGATCAAGCGCAAGACACAAATATAAAGAGATATTCACATACAGAAACAATGAGAGGCAGATGAAGACGATGCTAATTGACAGACAGACCACCAAGACAGAGAGTGAATGGCCACTCAAATTAGTGTGTATGCATGTAATTAAGTTATTGAGGATAGAGGAAATATGCTCTGTTGCTTCAAGACATGATTTTGTACTGTTAAATTCTTCCAGTGCACAAATAATACTCACACATGTGAGGCCAGAGACTATTGTAACTACACTGCTCTGTATAGGCATCATTGGTTTTCCTTGTGAACAAGGACATACAGGTGTGGTGCTGTTGTAGGATAGCAGATGTTCAGGTTCACAAAGAACCTGAAATAAACCCATTATGGTTCCAAAATAATAATAATAATAATAATAATAATAATAATAATACTACACTGCTGTATATGCATGCATACACTAAAAAAAAAAAAAAAAAGAAAAAGGCAGCAAGATGTTTTGTTACTCCTCCACCTTCCCCTCAGTTGATGTCACAGAGGCAAAATTCTTTTATCTTCTTTTTTCTCTCCTCAGTCAATAATAGCCAAGGACTTACCTCGGCTACGTCTACCTCAACTGGCAACATCCATAGTAAACACTCGGTAAGTGTCCAAAATCGAACTCAGCTACAAGCAACTGAAGGGATTCAGGGATGTACAGACAGGTTCACAAACATACTTATAAAAACATAATAAAATTATTTACTATTGATTAGTACTGTTTAGGGTTCGATAAATACATTGATTTAAAAAGGACCAGAGTGTAGCTGCAGATCGCAACTCCCTCGTTCCACCTTACACACTGGTCCTTTAAAAACCTTATTGCAGTTAGAAGAAAAGAAAAAAAAGAAAGAAAAAAGCTCAATTAAGTCCAAGAGATTTGTGAATGTGGATATTTTGAGTGTCTGACCTCTGATTAGCTTGGCGCTGGTGTCCTCATTGACCTTTGCCACATTAATGATTGTACGGGCCTGCTGGGCATAGCGCAGAGTGCTTAGGCTCTCCTCCACGTTGCTGCCCGCCGGGCTCAGTGTGGCGATCATGGCTGTCTTGGAGTTACCACCGAGGCTCTCTTTCAACAGCCTGTGAAAGAAATAAAATGGGACTGGGTCAGGGTCCTCTTTGGAAAGTCTGTAAATCTGGGGCCGTACATATTCATAAAACTTCCTTATACAGAGATTTGCTCCTAGTGACGAAATTCTAAGAAAATGAAGAGTTTCCTAAGCCGAGGAGGCAGAAAGACAAAGAGCTAAGAGAAACATTCTCCAAACATTGAATGACAGCAAGTTAATGAAACTCTATAGATTAGATAATGCAGGGATAATGTTTATGGTCAATCAAATTAGAGATGCGCTCACATCTCTCATCAAACACAATAACAAGATTGTATTTTCAGTTATACAAAATTATAATTTGTATAATTTATATATTCCATTTTCCATTCAAGCACTGTGAATATCTATGTATACTGAAAATGTGGACCACTTTTGTTTGTTTCTTATTAAGAAAAAAATTATAATAAAAAAAAGAGATCAAAAATAAACATTGCAGCTACAGTGTAGAAGCATCCTGATCTCTCACCATGTCAGGACAGACTCTCTGTACGGTATGAAGACCTTCTTTCTGGTCAGTGCTTGATCCGACAGGGCTGAGATGACCTTTCCAAGGGTAAGGAGGGATTTGTTGATGCTAGCACCCTCCTATAATAACACAGCAAAAATTGTATTTCAAGTACATGTTGTTTTATGAAAGAATGCAAAGAAATTATAACAATATAACAATAATGATTCATTGATTGTTATTGATTTGTGTAGCCCATTTTTCAAGTGATTGTTTAGGTTTCAAAATGTCAGAATGAAAAATGGCCATTATAAATCGCAGGACCCAAAATGACAAATAACTTGTTAGTAAAAGATATTTGCTTGCATAGTATTTGATTATATAATTTGAGCAAAATAAATAAATAAAAAAAACCCACAATGAAATGAAACTGAGAAAAGCTTTTTGTCACATCTGAGCAGCAATAAGAAAGAATAATGTCGGTGTGTGTACCCTGAGCCGGTCTCCACTTGTCTGTGCCGAGTTACAGCGTTCGCTGCCTGCCAGGTCCACCAGGTTGATCCTGCTGGTGATGCTGTGCTCATGTTCCTCACCCTCCACAAACTCAGTCTGTACACAAGCACACAGAGAAACACTGCAACATTCAGCTTAAACACATGACATAATGACAAAGGCTAATAAGCGGCTAATTAGTGTGCCACTGCAGAATTAATCTAATTTATACATTATTAAATGCACTTATTTTGTGTTTGTTTGTTTGATGTGTGACATACAGTGATGTTGAGATACATACCTGAGTCTGGGTCATAACCAGGGTGAAGACGGAGTGTGACCTGGAGCTCTTGTCATTCATTCCTGTAGCTGCTGTGGCTCTCTGTTTGTTGCCCAACTTCAGCCAACCCTAAAGAAGGACACTGTGAATTATAACTGAACCTCCTAGTGTGACGTCTCTCTTGTGGTTATCAGCGCCATTACTGTTATCAATGCTAGACTTTGGATATTTCTTTGATGCTAGGTACTTATATTTATGGTGCGCCTCCACTTTAAATTCAAAACATTCATATTCAGTTGAAATATTTCTGTAATTCATCTGGGCTCTTAATCCACCTGACATTGGACCCTGACTTGTTCACTCATTTAAAGTCATTCAAGCATCAGCTAAATGCCATGGATCTAAAAAGAAGAAAATGTCTTGACAGCAGTTTGAACTTACCTGAACATCATTGTAAGAGCTCACAATATTCCTGTGAAGAAATGACACCATGAGCAAGCCTTCAAATCAGTCGAGAATGTTCCTTTGGTTTTTACTGAATAGTGCAGCAAAAGACATTTAAAAGGTTTCTTACGCAGAGAGGTCAGCAACGTACGGACCATGTACTGGATGTTCCCTCACTCTCAGCTGAAAACACAAAATCAACAGGGTTTTTTTTGTTTTGTTTTTTCTTGACAGTACATATTCTCAGGGTATTAAGCCCTATGAATGACCATATAAAATGGCCAACGGCATTATGAGCTAGCTAGCATATCTAAAAATGCAAAGTAGCTGGTTTATCTGGAAATGTACGCAGCAGCCAATTTCACGCAAAGCAAGCTTTACCTAAATCTACCAGTAGTTTCCTGGATTGTATTAAAGTCAGTTGCAAACAACTTACAGGCATGTTCCTCTGGTTTGGCTCCTCCCGGGTCACCAGCAGGTCATGGATCTTCTCATTGTACACTTCAAAGAAGCTCATCTCTACATGACATTTGACCTGAAATGTAACAACCCAAAAGAGACAATTTGATGAGTAATGTGACCAGAAACAAAATAACACATGTACACTTTCAAGTCTTTTTTTGGAGAATGATTGAGTAAAGGAACACAAACTAAGCATTTAACCAGGGATAAATCCTTGTAAGAGAGATTTTACCTCTTCATTTTCCATGGAGGCCAATCTACAAAAAAGCTCATGGCAGAAGCGCGGGATTACTCCTTCCTCCTCGCCAAAGCCCATCATCCTAAACGACAATGATTTCAAACAAATCAGAATGACTGATTTCAATTCATATTAAAACTGTATGCTTTTTTAATAGCAAAAAAAATGAAGAGAGCAGAGGGGAGGGGTTTGAGTGGTGCACAGTTCACTGTAGTAAACTAAAACCAAAAAATTCTCACGTGTATGACTTCCCAGAGCCTGTTTGGCCATAAGCAAACAGGCAGGTGTTGAACCCTTCGAAGGCCCGCAGCAGCAGAGGTTTGCCCAGAGTCTCGTACACCGTCCGCTGGCTGGCGAAGGTGGGGTCAAACTCATCCACCGAGCAGAAGGAGAAGTCGTAGGTGAAAGAATAGCTCTGTTTGGAGTCTGGATGCTGGACCGTAGTCTCCTGCCCGTTCATGAAGATGACCTGCAATGCCTTCTCTGCCTTCTCCCTACAACAGAGCAGAGGTATTACAAAAACTATTTCAGAAATGGATTTTGTTTACCAGAAATAAATGTTAATGTGTATTGTTCGCAGTTTGGTAGTCATTTTCCAGCTTAGAACATTCCTATTAAACATAAAAAAATCACAATTTTCTAAAGGTAAGGATATCAAACTTCTTGTGCTCAACCAACACTCAGAAACTTATATTAACTTTACAATCACATAAGACGAAAAGCAGCAAATCATTCAACTGAGAAACTGGAACATGTTTGTTTTTTTGCTTGAAAAATAAAATAAAAAATAAATAAATAAGGTGTCAAGTATTGATCAAGTTGCTTCCTATTTTTCTGTTTTCTGATTCTTTCAACTATACTGGAGTAAACAGAGTAATTTAAATTTAATGTAGACAACATTTGAAATACACTGCTATACTCTAGTAAGGTGTTTTATTTGTGAAGTCCCCTAAAACTAAAAGAAATAATGGTTTAATCACACAGGATGTGATTACACTACATCTTGGTTTATCAGGCTGAATTAGACACATTCTACTAACTTTTGGAGACACAGAACCTAAAATGCTGACAAACATCATTCACAATTTACCCCCCCAGTTAAGGCCAATTTGAATATACGAACCTGGCGTTGAAAGGCCGTACACGGACAGCAACAGTCACTGCACTGTTCTCCATCTTAAATGAATCATGCTGCCTCAGGGCACAGGACAGGGACTGCTCGGTGGATGCTGGGGCTGGAGCAGGAGTGGAGGTCCTGGTCTGGGTCGCGTCTCCCTTCTGGCTCGAGGTGGAGGTCTTCCTCACCTGCAGCGGGGCGCTGGTCTTGTGCACACCTGAGGAGGCCTTGCTGACCCGAGGAGCTGGGACGGGCTTTGCGTCCTCTGCTTGCTGTGCTCGGGATTTGGGCCTCTCTAGACTTAAAGATTTGGCTGCCAGTGGTTTAGGAGCTTCTTTCCCCGCCAGTCTCTCGAACACATCTCTCCTGGCTGCGATTTTCTCAAACGGGGTCTTTTTGGTAGGGGTTTTAAAGGTGTGGGCCTGGTCCTCTAGCTGCCTAGTAATGGAGGAAGAAGCACAGGAGGAGGGCGTCTTGCTGGCCGCCGGCCTCGCATGGGTTTCCACATGAGCAGCAGTTTCTTTGCCTTTGCTCTTAGAGGCAGAGTCTCTTAAACTCATAGACCGGAATAAACCAGGTGCCCTACCGTTTGGTTCGCTCAGGACTTTCGGCGTCGGCTGCAGGCCGGTGCCGCTGACCGCACGCTGCCCGTATACGCTTTTATCCATTGAGGGAGTCCTGGTCCGACGCTGCAGGGTCAGTCTCTTCTCCGGAGCTGGTGTGGTATCCCGGCTGCTTTCAATCATCGTCTTCTCCGTTGTGTCAGCCCCGGTCTTCCTCCTTGACCTCCTCTGCAGAGTGAGTCGGCCACGGTAAGGAGTCTGCTGCCCGCTGCCGCTTTTTGACAGCGCAGAGACGACATAAGTCCTGTTCACCTGTCGGCTTTTATCAGATGACCTGCTGTCTTCACACGCAGACTCTCCGGATGTTCTCTCGCTTTTTCCTAGCGTTGTGTCTGTCGTTTTTCGCTCCCTGCCCGGCGTCCTGGATGTTGATGTTGACATTAGATGGTCATAATAAGCTGTGTGCTTCCTCGCTTGTACGCTAAATAACGACATGGCGGTCGGCTGTTTAAAAAAACTAAAACGTTAAGATGAGCTCAAGGGTCAGCTAGCTAACGACAACTCCACTCCGGTTACCTAACTTACAATACACGACATGAAAAATGTCGAAGACGGACGCAGCCACTGCTCGGTATTTTAGTTAAAAGTGAACATAACTCCATTCCAATGAAATATGACTGATGTCCAGGCGAAGAGAGCTGCTTTTGTTTATTATTGTCCTCTCATCTCTTCCGCCATCGCCCGCTTCAATTTCAAACCGTCTCCGCTAGTGACAGCTGATTGGCTGAATTCTCGGGAAACGTGACGTCATGTCATGAACGAGACGTGTAGTTGCCTGAGACTGACGCTAGGTGGCAGCATAATCAAGGCTATGAGCCATACATAACACAGATTTAATTGTCACACACAGCTCCAAGGTTGTGTCTAAGTGGAGGAAATTGTGATACTCGTGCTTTCCCTTCTAAAATTAGCACAGTGCCGTTACAAAAGTGACGTACACCCCATAGTTTAAACATAAAAAAACAAAGGATGGATTCAGTGGCTTGCTTAAGGGCATCAACATTAGGCTTGATGTAGAACCACCCAGTTTAGGAGATATTTTGATATCAAAACCTGCTGTCTTAAAACTTAAAAAACGTATAATATATATAACTTATAAAACAGTGAAATTTAAAGCAGTGTTATTTTCTTCTGGACATCATACACCATATCAGATTGTCCTTCAGCTGGAGGACCTGCGTTGAAGTCATTGGATTAGAGAAGATAATCCTATTTGAATAAATAGTCTTACATTAATAACGCAACATATTTATTCAGAATATATCAAAATTCGATTTTATTTTCTTAATAAAAACAATATACAAACTAAACATTTAGCATTTACTCAATATACAGACAGCTTTATTGTAGGCACGATGGGAAGAACTTGCTATTTTTTGCGTCGGTCGTGTTTCTTTATGATGTCTAATAGATTGTTCTTGGTGACCAGCACATCATCAGAGCCCTGCTTGGCTTTCTGTTTTTCCCTCCTCTGCTGCTCATGGAGATGGGGTGAGTTGAGGAGCTGGGGGGGCAGGATGGACCCAGTGGGTTTGACCCGGTTCACCACCTCCAGGAACAGCCGCTTGTTGTTGTTATTGACAAAGGTGATGGCTGTTCCTCTGTGCCCCAGCCGACCTGCCCTGCCCACCTGGATGGGAAGAAATGAAGGAGAAAGTATAGTCATTTGCCTTATTTAAAACTGTCCCTGTGTACGATTACTTCCATAATTTAGCTGTGATGGACAAGTATTAGACATTTACTTAAGGATCAAAAATAGGATTCAATAACTTTTACTCATCATTATTAAAATAATCATTGCTAATTATAGGAAAGTGAAATTAGTAATACTAACCTGATGGACATACTCATCCATTGTGTTTGGCATGTCAAAATTAACCACCAATCTGACGTTGACGAGGTCCAGTCCTCTGCCTAGCACACCTGTACTGATCACCACTTCAAAGTCTCCATCCAGAAGACCCTGACACCCAACAGCGCAAATATTACAGTCAGACGTGTACAGCAAACATTATGAATGACCTCATTTTCACTAATATAAAACGAGTAAAATGCGACAAACACTAGTGTGATTAGGACGTAAATATTGGATATGATGCAAGATTTGAACAAATTTAACTATAAACACTGCTGGATCTAATGGTTGGTACGTCTTTATAAACAACTGAACCACAGAAATGAATTTCACGTTACAGTGGAGATCCCAAAGATACAAAATACATATCTAATCTCAGCAAAATGCTCCTAAAATGATGTAAAAGACATTCCATCTGATGTAATGGTGTGCCATTTAAAAATGACTCCACCTCAATGAGATGTTGGAATAAGCACAGGCAGAACATATGACATAATGCCATGCAGTGATCAGTTTTTCCTTCTAAATTAAAAAAAATAAAAAAGGTTGATTAGAGGTTAAATTACTTTTAGTTAAGTTGTTTATTTATTATTTAATAATAATTAATGTATTATTTAATTACAGTCAGGAAGGATGATCTGCTGTTGATCGGCCTCCAAATTAAATCTGGATTATTTAAGTATTTAGTATATTTGTATAATCGTATCTATTAATGTTAACTTCTCCACATTCCCTTTTTCTTGTCTAAGAGTTTGTTTTACCTACAATAGTTGTGGTTTTGACATCATCCTTCTGCATTAAATATACTTATAAACACGTTTAAGTCTGTTAAGTCTCAGCTCTTGGCGTCTGTGGTCTTTCAGCTACAAGTTACAAGGACACCAAACATGGGAGAGCTGCTATTTATCCACTTCACTGTGCATGCTCTGGCTGCCACTGGCCTCACCCTGAGGATGCGGTTGCGTTCCCACTGGGTCTTGTCAGAGTGGATTGCCACAGTTTCGAGGCCTGTCACCTTGGCGACCGCCTCACACAGCAGATCAGCCCCCAGTTTACAGTCTACAAACACCACCACCGGAGGCTGGTACAGCTTACTGTCCTGAAAAGCCACAATGAAAAAAAGAAATAGGAGTAAGGTGAGATCATATTTTTTACATTTTACATTTCTACATACAGATATTTCAGTAACTCTAAATGCTGATTGAGGTAAAATGTACTGTATATTGACTATTTGAGTTTTAAACTTTAATTTATGATTATGTTTTTAAGCTGCAAGATTATAAAAAAAAATTTAAATCTAAAACTATTACACCGAATTTACAAAACATTGGACACACTTAAAAGGTTAAAATCCTCCAGCAGATGGCAGTCATGACTCTCTAGCCAGCAGCAAACTTTTGAGTAAACTGGCTGACATGCTTCAAAAAACATCATATTGCCCTTTTTGCCTTTATGTGCTGCAACTAAAAAATGTTTACCCGCTGATGGAACAGGACAGAACAGGTTAAATACAATGTGTACTGTAACAGATGAGTGAAACCGTTCTCCTATTACCTGGTCCCAGTTCATTCATTACCATTCATACCTGGACAGAGTAGGAACAGTTTTACACTGAATACATGTTTTTAAAAGAAGGCTGTTTGCATCTGTCCCTTATTATCAAATCCAAATATGTATTTCCCACATTGACTAATAAAAGTGTTTCTGTCTAGAACAGTAGGATAGGTAAAGTGATAATGATGGGGCTTCTCTCAGCTCTAGGTCTATTGTTCTAGCTCAAACTTGTGAAAACATGCTATGATTTCCTGACTTAAGTTTGAGCAAATATTCATTTACCATTCTTTAAGAGCTGCAACATATGAAACAGCTGTTTTGGGGGATTTCTAAGTGAGTCATGTCCACTCTCACGTTTCGTTTTTTTTAGGTTGCCCGCTCGAATAGTCCTCCAATTCTACAGTACTCTTGCAAGACCCACCACTTTTCCCTGTTCAGAGACAGTGGCCTTTATACTCTGAGCTGCATTAAATAACAGCAGTCATGAATAACTTGGCTAAACAGAAAAATCGCCATCACGACCACCTCCTACACAGAGAAGTAGCTTCTGTTCCTCACACAATGCTCTAACAACACTTCTTCACCGGGTTAACTAAAGCAGACCCTTCCTGTCCTGCCCTGTATAAATGGTGCAAGCCATTGCTGGGATTCCTGGAGTGGGGCCATGGCTCGGGGCCCACCCATTTCCTCCAGACGGGGGCCAGGGCTGCGGCAATGGCTGTCTAAATATGGTGTAGTGGGAGGCTGGTCTTTGGCGCTTAAGGAATTAGCACCTCTAAACAGTCAGTTAATAAAATACCAAGCTGGTACCAGTGCGTATCAAGACTTGAGTGATAAACCCACTGTAAAATAAAATTGAGATAATAACCCACTTTCTGCCTTGGTCCCTACCAAAGCACTTTCTGGTTCCCCAGAGTACAATTAGACTCGGTCTTACACAAAAAATAAAACTGCTGACCTCTTAAAGAAAATCTATTTTGGCAGTGGAAGTGAGCTTAAAGTGATACTCCACCCAAAATCTATCTTTTAAGACTTTAAGTGAGAACCAGACTTGCTGACAAAAAGGAGACTGTGTTATTTAAACATACGCCTCCAAGTCACTGTTGAAAACCATACAGTCTAAACATCAAGTCTGTGACCTACATTGAGAATCTCAAACAGCTTCTTCTTCTTGGAGGGTTCCTCTGTCCATAGGAGTATCTGCCTCACGTTGGCGCAGGGCTGGTTCTTCTCACCAATAGCAATACGGACGGGGTCACGAACCAATCGAGCAGCCAGCTCCTCTGTCCCCGTTGGGATGGTGGCTGACGCCAACAGAGTCTGGCGTTCTTCAGGGACTTGCTCCAAAACCTCCAGCACCTGCTGCTGGAAGCCCATCTTCAACATAGTGTCGACCTACAGCATAGACCACAGATACATATGGACATATGATTTCTACACACTAAACAAGCACACAATTGAATACTGGACCCCACTTGCAGAGGCAAAATTCTTGGACTATTACTATCATCCATTGGAACCTATCCCAGTTGACATGGGGCCAGTTCACCAGTTCGTTACAGGGCTGACACATAAAGACAAACAACCATTCACTCTCACATTCACACCTATGGGCAAGTCACCAGTTAACCTATATAGCAAACTACACACAGAAAGATCTCAGCTCCGACTACAAACTCCCCAGGCACAGAAAGGTCCCAGCCAGCTGGAGGGTTTTCCCCTGGAACATACTTGCTGAGAGGTGACAGTGCTAACCACTGCACCACTGTGCCATCCTAAAATCAGCTATCATACAATTCTCATTGTTTGCTCGTCATCATGTCAAATTAAAGTCAGACAAATAATTAAAAAAACTTCTGCTGTATCACCGCAAATGAAGGCTTAATGAAATACATTTATCTAGCCTTTTAGGCCCTTTTTGTTCTCCAAACAAACCTCATCAACTACCACGACCTTCACTTTGTCCAGCTGCACCGCCTTCTGCTTCAAGATCTCAAGGAGTCGCCCAGGCGTGGCTATGATAATCTAATGGGGATTAAAAGAAGAAGAACATGATAATGTAGAAAGTTGAACACTTAAAAAATGTTTGGATGGGGGAGGAGGAAATGATTGTAAACAACAGAGACTGTACTTTGATGCTGCTTTTGAGGCGGTGGAGTTGTGGGGGAAGCGGCATGCCACCGACCAGCAGCGCGGTTCTCATGTTGGGGAGGCCTATCACCAGCTCCTTGGCCTGCCTCTCTATCTGAATGGCCAACTCCCTGGTGGGGGTCAGTATGAGAGCCACGGGGCTACTCACACTGTGCGCTGGTTTCTAAAATAAGAAAATGTAAAGCATGTCAATATGTATGTAAGTCCAAAAGCAGTTAAAGCAAGTAATGTTATAGAGTCCATGTCTATTAGAGAAATTCAGTTGTTTTCCTTGAAAATAAATTAATTCAGAATCCAATAACTCTCAAGACTTTGCCCAGAAGAACAAAATGACCTCTCCTGTGCCTATCATACCGATGGTCGCTTGTATATTGGTAATTAAGGACCTTAAGGACACTATTGTGACTTAAAACAGACAAAATAAAAATGAAAAAAACAAACAAAAAAAAGTCTAACTTTTTGGTAGAACTTTGCATGACATTGTAACACTGGTTACAACACAGCTCCCAATATAGCTACAACATCATGGCCAAAGATAAAATGTCTCCTTAAGAATTACTCAGAACTGCTGTTTACCAGCATGAGTCAAAGGATCAAATTGTACAAAACTGTCAGAAGACCCTTCCCACCCACAGAAATGTGTCCTGCAACAAAAAACACTGCAGATGCACTGAAACACATCTCCAAGCTTTTATGATAAAAAAAAACCCAGCATTTCTTCTTTTATTCATCCTATCCACCTCAATCATGGAGATGTGTGCAAATGTTTACTCTCCATTCAACACCAGTATTCATAAGTGATCAATGGATTCTCATGGCTAAAAGAAATCCCCTTAGCTGTAGACTGTGGCTGTATTTGTTTTTCCCCAACTTGCAAAAATGCACTGATTTATCCCGCCTGATGCTCGGTGCATTACTGTACCTCCAGTGCCCTCACTACCACTGGCAGCAGGAAGGCTACAGTCTTCCCTGAGCCTGTGTCAGCGCTGGCAATCACGTCCCTGCCGGTGAGACCAACAGGCACCATCTGCATCTGGATCGGCGTGGGCGCCTTATAGCCGGCCTTTTTCAGGTTGCCGCTCAGCGTGGCGGGGAAGCCGCAGTGTTCAAACTCAACGATGGGTCTCCTGACATCTTTACCCTGGGTTTCAATGCCCAGCTCCTGTTTAATCCGCTGCACCTGCTCGTCTGAAAGGCCTGCTATGAATCGATCTTCCGTGTAGGAATAGCCTGCTTCGCTTTCACCCACTGGCTGTTGAGGTTGAGTCCTTTCATCTCCATTTTTGTCCTTACGGTCAAACGCGTCCGCCCCAGTGCCCATCCCCATGTGGGCCAAATGTTTGGCTTTGCACTCAAGGCTGCAAACGTCATTGTCTGTGCTGTCACAAATGTACTCCCCATAGCGACCACACATCACACAGACGGGCTCTCCTGGCTCTGGCCATCTCTGACTCTTTTTGAATGATTTAACAGGTTCTTCCTCCTCCTCCTCCTCCTCCTCTTTTCCCTCTGTATCACTTGAGGCAGGCTTGTGTTCATCTTCACTCACCAGGCTCTCTGTCAAACCTGCAGAGTCTCCTCCTGCTTGTATCGTCTCATTCTGTGTTTTGGTGTCTTCACACGCTTCCTCCTTCTGAACAGGTGTCACTGAACTACCTTCATCTTTCCGCTCCTCCTCATCCACCTTGCTTTTCTTACTCAAAGCTTGGCTTGAACCCTGGGTGGGTCTCTTCACTTTCAGGGCTCTTGGCATAAACATCTTTTATGTATTATTAACCTGTGAACATCCCAAAAAAACAACAACAGATATTTACATTAGTTTCATGTCAAGGATTTGGTGGTTGTTGTTTTAATGCTAACAGCAGCTTGGCCAAATGGTGGAAACTCGAGTTTAGGTTTGTACAAAATAACGTTATTTCTTAACAACGATGAAATGTGATACACTTGGCCGTCACACTTGACTTTCCTGCCATTTAGAGGTAAAAAATGTGTCGTAAAGCAACCAAATTACAGCTACACAAAGACAAAAATAACGTTAACTCAGGGCTGCCACTGAGAACAAGACAAGAGCTTTAACATTTTCGTGTATTTTGAAGAAGCACTTATCAAACCACAGTTCGGCTATGACTTAAATAATGTCTGAGCTCAATGTTTCCTAAAAAAACGAACAGCATTACACACCTCCACGCATCCTCTTCCAACGGTTCAAAACAATCATCGACGCAGACGAATGACGCAGTGTTGCTTTGCACGCCGGGTAATGTGGTTCGTAGAACAGCGCTTTTCTGCTATGTCTCGTGGTGATCGTTGACAGGGGGCTTCTTTATGAGAGACCTTCTTGGCGTCTTTTTGACTAAATCTACTTAAGAAAAATATATTAAATATTTTAGCTTTATTGAAATGCAGAGTCTTTTAAGTCATGGTTTACATTGAGGGTGTGGCTGGAGAAAATGGCTACAGGATATGGCAAAACAAATCATATTGCCATTATTATAAGATATCACGGTTGCGATATGTTTCACGATTGGTGCGAATGATCATTTTTGAATTTTCATTTTCACTGGAAAAAACTATTAAAACCACGATAATGTGACATTTGTTGTGGTCTGTAGCCTCTCCTTATATATATATACTGTCAATGAGCCTACCTAACAAACATGTTTACTTACATGTAAAGGACAGGACTTGTATGGCAGGGCATCTCTGCATCGCTACAGTACTTAATTATATTGCTGTTTTGTCATACATTTTATTTTTGTAGTTCTGGATATTGCTTTTGGCATATATTTTGGCAATATCTTGCAATCTTGTGTTAAATATGTCGATTAGATCATGCGCAGACGCACTGGATAACTGAACTGAGCTGTGTACAAGATCATTCAATTGTCGGAATAAGTACGAGGTCTGTCTGTCAAGTTGAGAACACGTGGATATATGTAATTAAAACCGTTCGGCTTTTTGTTTTGTGATTGCATTCAGGCTGTCCTCTTTTCGTGCATTCATCGAAAAACTCAAACATTAAACCTAACCTTTACAGTCATGTGGTGCAAGACTATTGAATGATAAGGTTTAAATAAGCCTGCTGTCGCGGGGTAAGTATGTCCCAGAGATAGGATACAGTCCTCAACAATTTATCACTTTAAACATATACCCATAGCACGAAAATGCAATACAGGGCCAAAGCAACATACCCCCTCATTTCAAGTAGTAACATTTCCGAGTGTATTTGAAAGTAGCAGCCGCGCATGCGCGTTGCACAACAAAGGTGCGGGGCTTGGTGAGCCACAGTGCGGCACGAAAACCGCACCACGGCACTGAGACATTGAATAGAGGAGGGAATGCAAAATACACAGGTTATCCTTAAAAGAATACACGGACACGAAAGGGAGAAGCCGTCTGCTTCCGGAGAACCCAAAGAATGGAAATATTTCTACATTCATTCCGGCTGAAGAGTAATTTTTCCTCTGAAATCCAAGGAAACCTTCCCAGCTTGGTCCGACGAAGCCCAGTTCAACTAGACAGCAGAATGGATAAAAAACAACTAGACTAGCGACTCATTGTGTCAACAAGACTGAACAGGAGGGGGAGAAAACCCCGCAGCCAACCTGGCATTTTATCACTGGGAGAAGTTGTGAACAGTCTCCGGAAAGACACCGCATCTCATCGTTTTTACAGCCTTTCATTGTTTTTTTTGTTGTTTTTTTTCCCCCACGAAATTCCAGTAGTGGGATGCTTTCGCGTTGTGTTGCTGCTTCATAGGGGTTTTTCAAGAATACAATACAGGGGTGAAATATGGGTGAAGTTCAGGACGTCAGGGATGTTAAGAAGACATTCGTTGCTCCAGCAATAAAGTCTTTTGAGCACTACGACTTCTCCCGAGCCAAAATCTGTTGCAGCCTCACATGGCTGGTGGCCAAAGCATACGGGACAGGTAGGCAGCATTACTGTACCTTAGATACCTGAATATGTTCTTTTTTCAGATGCATGTTTGTCAGCATTTTAGTTGATTACTACAGACCCTGATGCAGTAAATGTATAATATGCTTGTAGTACACTTTAAAACATTGACAGCAAATCAAATATATATATGCCTTACACTGCAGGCATCAAATACTATACAGTAGCCTATATATTCACTATGGACTCATCATTGATTGCTCGAGGCAGTATTCTATAGTAGTATTCCCTGTAGAAATATATCACAGTGATTTTCCATCAGAGTAAAAACCTGTTTGGTTCACAAACACCATCGTGATCTTTTGCTGTTGCCCATTGCGGACCATCTTAAATGAATTGGAAAGACAATACATTTGATTCCAACAGGGCAGATGAAAAAGCATTTATTGACCACTGGATCCCAGTGGTCAATAAATATGTTGTCCATCTTAATGGACAGTGAGTGTTCAGTGTGGAAACACATGTATGAAGGTGTCCCAAATGATGTCACCTTCAGGGTACTGCATCCAGATTTAGAAAGAGAGGCATCACATGTGAGATTTTTTTTTTAATACACTGTCAATAGCCTATAAAGGATGTACTTGTTAACAGTAATGGAGGGTAAATGAAAAGGTTTTGTAGGCTCTAGTCAGCAGCCACCATAAGACAAAAATCAGTACTTTCAGAAATGTTAGTTAATGTAAATGCTTTTATAATTTATCTTGCCTCACTTTATGTGACTTTCTTTATTTACATATATGACATGATATGCTGGATTTACCTCAGAATAATCTGTTTTGCAGTGAAAAAGTAGTCAGATGTGGGTTCACACCCCTATACATTCCTTTTAGTAGTATTTAAATTAATGAATGTTGAACTTGTGTATTTGTTTAATGGACTTTTTGACTTAATTGAGACATGCTTTCATTTTAGAGAGAGTGAGAGATGGGATATTAATGCAGGGAATGTATGGAGGTAGCCTGGCTCTCTATCTCTGAATGGCCACCTACATTTTTAAGCAGTGCAGTGAAAACAAAATGGCAATTCAGTCTGATTATCTGGCCAATATGGATAATACAAACAGATGGGAAGGTTGTAACACCGTGGCTCAGAGGCTTGATGCATTTGGTACATTCTGGACAATTAAAACTCATACTTACATATTGCTCAGAATTGATGGATTTAGGCTATACCTGCTTGAATTAAAGGTGTTCTGTGTTATGAATAACTTCTATCACCCTCTGTTGTCCATCAGTAGGAATTACAACAACATAGATTTACAGTAACAGTAACTCATCTCTTCCAACAATATATTAGTCACAGCCCCCCTCATATCATTATGACTTAGCTGATATGTTACTGACACACTCTGAACACACATAAGACACATTTTTAGAATACAAGCAGCAGGGACTCAACAGAAGTGTCTGGTGAAGAGGTAATGCGACATCATCTAACAGTCTTAAGAATGAGGATTCTGTCCCTTAAATGTGCTAATCTGTCTGTCTGTCACATGGTTATGGCATCGTCTTTCACACTTAAGCAGTTGAAAATGCACAAACAATCAGTGGGGGCTGGGAGTGTTTTAAAATGTGTGCAGTCCTGTTAAAATACCCCACTGCGTGTGACATTTGTGCTATGCTATATGCTAGGTGACAGAGCCAGGGCTAATAAGGTGGTATCATTGAACAGAAAGGCAGAACAAGATGACTTTTTGTCTGGACCATTAATGTTGAAAGACTTCTACTGTGCATAGCCCCAAAGCTAGAATTAAAGCTTTAAGACAGGCTGATGGACTAAAGAAAAATATGTGTTATTTAAGCCACATCTATCAGGTTGTAGACTTAAAACAAATACAAGCCAAATTATCAAACTGAAGCTTGTGCGTGTCTTACATCAAGTAGCTTAAAGAGAAAACCTATACGTGTCACACGCAGGTTACTGTCACCATGCACAAGCTATGGCTGTTTCTCCCAACAATGATTGTGTCACATTTTTGCTTTTATTCCCCGTGACACATATCAGATCCTGAGCCATGTGTACTGTATTTTAACTTATTTCAGTGTTGCCATGACAGTAACTAAATGTAATTTACCTCAATCAGATTTTCTAAATCAGCCTAATATGACAGAAATAATATGCTCCGCTAAAAATAATGATAAAAATTAGCCAGTTTGGGCTTAAACCACAGCCTGCAGTATGGATTAGGCCATGCTCCATTCACTTACACTGAAGTGAAAACAATGTTGGTCTAAAGCTGGGGTTTAGGAAATCTCAGCTCAGGATTTTGTAGCAGATCACTTTAAGAGGGGCGTCGGAAATACAGAGAGAGATTATTAACCAAGTTTCAATTTTTTATTTTTTTTTTGCACTTTATTCAATAACGTGTCCAACAGGTGGAGAATATATTTGAGATGCTGTGGCAAACACCTTGCGTGTATGAAAACAGTATTACACTGACAAGCTGACTTCTAATCAGGGCAGTCTTTTTTTTTTCCCAATCATCGGTTTATGACCGCACTCTATATGACATGAGTTTCCAACCAGACCTTTGAATCACCCAAATGGCTCTTATATCAGGTAGGACAGATTCTGGTCGCAATAAATCTTCTCTGAACTCTACTTATGAACCTTAAACATATCAGCTCTAAAATAACCCGTACAGTTCAGTTTGTCTGAACAGTGCAGACAAAATGGCATTCTGATGCTGTAGCCACTGAGCAAAGCACATTATTACTTGCACTGTGTTGTAACAGCCCAGCAAACATGAGATTCCTTGCAGATCCTCTGTGTATTTTCAATCGGGACTGATAGAAGTGGGATGATTCCAAAAATACAGCCCTCTGAGAGAGAGAGAGAGAGAGAGAGAGAGAGAAAGAGAGAGCGGGCTCATCTCCAGATCCCTGCCTACGCTGCTCTGAATACTTCACATGCATCTGCCTCATTACACCAATGCACAAGTACATTAACAATATGCAGTCTTGTAGATGCAAGATGTAGCCTATGCAGCAGATCATCTGCTGTTAGAAAATGTTATCAAATATTATCAGACAGAAAAAACTCAATGTGCGCATTGTGACCAGAAGCTGTCATGTTTAAATACTGAGGGAACATGTTGGGGTGCTAGTAAGTAAGTGTAATTCTCTCCACATTATCTTAACAAGTACATAACAGATGTCCTTGTTCAAACAGCAGTGGTTTTGCTCTGTTGTCAACAGTTGAACACTGGGATATTGGGAATGTGAAGCATGGTTTCAGAGACTTTCCTCCATAATTAAAAGCTCAAATACTACAAGTGTAATTAAATATTGGAAAATAATAACAACTGGAGAAAATATCTATATAGTATTTGATCAAACAAGACAGGCTTTGTGTCTTCAATGATGAATACGATGTGAATACTGCTCTTGTAGATATTTACAGATGAATATATAAATATATATATATATATATAGATATATAAATATAAAATGTAATTTGTAAGTTACATGAGCTGGATGCTGACATACTACCAGCTTCAGGGCTGCTGCTCTATATCTCAGCCTGACCTCTGACCTCTCAGGGTGGATGATGGGGGAGGGCTGAAGAAAATTAATTTCTTTGTTGGGATCAATAACATGAATGTAGTACTTACAGAAAAAGCCTATAACCCAGATAGCTAGTGCTGCTGTCTGCATTTCTGTTTCATAATAACAGTCAATCTGTAGATGACCTTGTTGATAGTGGTCAGTCTAAGCAGGTGATTAATTTTTTTGTGCTGTTCTGTGTGGCTGGGTGTGTGTGTGTAGGAGGATGGGCAGCAGTGTTGGGGAGTGTAAAGCTGTCACCACATGCCCCATGTCTTCCTGCACACTCTCAGACCGTTATCAGAATTTACATCTATTCCCCTGCTGCTGACACAGTGATGAGCTCTGCATCTGGAGTGTGTGCAGATATATTTTAACGCTTTCACACAACAGCAGCATCACATTTGAAACCAATTCTTCATAATTTTGTTGTTTAATCTGCAGTGGGAAAAGAAGGACGTGCATTGGCTCTCACTGATATTTTCTGTACAATAGCCATACTTCCTCTCCTCAAGAAATGGTGTGTAAGAAGGTGCAAGACAATAGCAATAAAAAAAAAGGCAATGTTTTTGAATGACTACCCCTGTGCAGTGGACTTGCTTGAGGTGATCACACACACACACACACACACACACACTCTCTTTTTGATGAGGCAGGCAGTGAGAGGGGTGTTCCCAGGGAGCTGGAAGCTGCGGAGATACAGACTAGATGAATCGATCGGGTTCCACTCCTCCTGCAGTTTCTATAGCAACGCTGAGGTCTATTCACACATATCCATGTCAAGATATTGTCAAAGTGTGGCAACGAAAAAATGAAGCAGACTTGCCAAAGAAAAGCAACGGTACAAGATCTGTGCACCAAGAGTAGGGAACTCTTCAATAAAGCCCAAATCTGTTGTACCTTTGGAATACGGCTGATTCGTTTTTATTCCATAGTTTTGCCACAGAATTCAAATCACCATCACTTGTGAGAAATGGGCAAAAGGCATGGCAAAGTTTTTCTGTTTTTTCATATTTTAGAACAGGGATTGAGAACACTGATCCTGTTTTCCCTGCTTCTTCTTGCGTCTCAGCTTTTCTTTTTTGTTACTCAGTCAGTGATTTGTTCATGTAGGAAATTATAAACATCATGTGCATATCTAGAAGCAAATCATTTTATCTCTCTTACCCAAAATCCAACTTTCTCCCCTCCATCATACAGACAGCATCCCAGCAGACTTAAAGGACCCCTTCTATACAGACCAGTATGAGCAGGAGCACCTGAAGCCTCCCGTGGCCAGCCTACTGCTGTCTGCAGACCTCTACTGCAGGGCCGGCAGCCTCATCCTGAAGAGCGACTCTGCCAAGCCCCTGCTGGGCCACGATGCCGTCATTCAGGCGCTGGCTCAGCGTGGACTCTACGTCACTGACCAGGAGAGACTGGTGACTGAGAGGGACCTTCGAAAACGGCCTCTGCAAATGGTAAGACAGATCAATCCTTTTTTTTAATTTCAGGGGTTCTCCATTTTGCATTTGCCAGACAACAGAAAGATAACTTTAGTAGTGTTTGAAATTGCTTTGTCTTTTATTGGCCAATAACTGTAGATAATGACACATTTTATAATACACATTGAATTAAAAAGATAAAACAAAACCACTGCAGCCCAATAAACAAGTGAATGAAACCCACAACAAGAACGGATAACCAGTGAAAAGGTACGAGACAGAAGGGGTGTTCACTTCTCCCATACAGATTTTTCTGGGGAGTCAAACTGACAAAAAACAGTACAAGTAGACTTAACCCTCAAGGCATCCAGTGCGCTGTGTGTTTCTGTCATCTCTCACTGTCTTTATAGCTCCTCTGTCCATCTGTCTGTGTTGGAGCTTACTACAGAGATGACTTTGCAGGCGTCCTATGGAGTGAGAATGAGGGATCCTCATTATTTGGGGGCAAAGTCTCAATAGGAGGCTTTACTGCTTCAGTGAATTGCAATTGAGACACAATTAGTGCACAGTTTGCCTCCAGTCTGTTTGTAGAGTCTTGCTGGTTTTAATTCCCCTTTTATGCTAATTCAAAAGTTATTTAAGTTTTGTTGGGGTTTACATTTAAAGCACTTTGGTTTGTGGAGACAACATGTATTTTAGTACAAGCTCATCATCCAAAATTGAATTTTAAATCTAAACTAAGTGGAATTTTGCGTTGTACTGTAAGTATAGCCACAACTGCCATGAGCCAGTTTTTTCTATATTTTATAGGTTACGTACATTTTTCTAAAGTATTTTTTGGGGCTTTTATTGCCTTTATGATAGTGACACCTGGAGAGAGACAGGAAAGGGGGTCAGAGAGAGAGGGGATGACACGCAGCAAAAGGCTACAGGTCAGATTTGAATTCTGGGCCGCTGCAGCAAGGAGTCAGCCTCAGTACATGGGACGCCAGCTCTACCAACTGAGCTAACCAGGCACCCAGGTCACGTACATTTTACAATTGATTTAAACCCCCTACAGTTTACTGAATGGTTTGTCAGAAAGCGACAGTGTGTGTGCGCGTGACTGTGCAGGTTGTTGTGAATGTGAAAATGAGCTGCTAGAGGGGTGTGAAACTACCTTCTGCCATTTCACTTTCCTTCTAGCTTCTACCCTCAAATGGTCAAATCTTTCATCCTTCTATCCCATATTCCTCATTTTACTCTTACCCCCCCTCGCCACCATCTCACCATCATTCTCTCTCTTTGTCCACACATTTTGCCCTTAAATTTCCAAACACCTTCGTTCTTCCATCCCTTTTCATTCCCATTTCCTTATCCTTTCCTTTATTTCCACATCTTCCCTCCATCTCCATTTCCCCTCTTCTAGCATTTCTCCATTCATCTTTACTTCTAGTATCCATCGTTCTCCGTTCCCTTTCCCCTTCTCAGTCTACTTCCCTTGCATTGTGCATTCCTCCTCGCTCGCCCTGCCATCTTCCCTTCCTTCATCCTTCTTCTTTTCTTGCTCTGCTCCCCACACTGCTCATGCATCTGTTACTGTCAGCACTGTTTATCTTCACTCACATCCTATAGCTTGAGATTTACAGCATCATGATCTAATAAGTGATGAAGGTTTCATTGTACTAGCTGATGTTATATGGATTTGTTTAATGCATTTTAATAAGCTTTTGAAAACAAAGAAGGACATTGCACACTTGAGACAGTTCATGCAGAACACCTGCTGCACATTGGAATGACAGCTCAGGTGGGGGATCATCTATTATTTAGAAATTGCTTCAACATCAAAGGGCTGACAAGGTGAACAGAAGCTGTACGGGGTGAGCTCTGGGGGCGTGTGTGGAGTCTGCGAGAAGAGCAGAAAGAGGATGGTTTCATGGCTTGATAGGCTGCCCTAAAAGGAAAGCATCACTTGTTTTACTCCTGCAGCAGACTGTGAAAGAGCAAGAGACTGAGTACCTGCAGTTCTAACTGTAAGCCGCTCTGGATAAGAGCACCAGCAATGTCATTAAATGCATCTTCATGGCATTTTAAGCTGAGCTTGTTTTTTGTTTTTTTTAACTCTGCAGTTTACATGAGGTATAGGAACTTTCAGAGTAAGCAACGTTAGCTGATGTTCGAGGGAGCTTTAGTAGTCCAGTCAGCAGCAGAGTTAGATGCTGCTGATGTCTGGTCTGACACGTGTCATAACTGAGCACATTTGCTGACATTTTCACCAGGTTGCCAAACTTGACTTTCTCTCTTTCTGTCACTATTCTGCCCACTCATCCTTCTGTCTTTAGCCATGTGATGGATTCCCACATTTGAAGACACAGGGATCCGAAACGCCGCTACCACCTACTCAGCCGCCTCCACACATTCTGTATCGCTGACACTCTCCTCCACCTGTAGTGCTCACAGAGAATGAGAGCAGGGATGTGGAGGTGGGCTAAGGATCTGAAAATATTATTCTAGCATTACGCATTACAGTCAATTGTGTTCTTTTCAGCGTGGGTGCGGTGTGATCAGCTTTGTTTGTGGTGATTGAGTGGAAACTCTGGGACAGTATATGTATATATGTGAACAGTAAAATCTCCCACAAACACAAATTGTTTCTGTGTTCAGGGAGAAAATTTAATATTCAAGTTGTACCCAATAACCAACAAATAAACGTGATTCAATTAAAGACCAGTATCTCGGCTTGATGAATCAATATCCTGATGTAAAATCTAACCCTGTTGCTACGGAGACGTTATACTGAGTGGGATGAGAATGACGTCAAGATCCAAAAAAAACGAGGAATCTAAATGAAGAATGAAAATAAATTCTGTGTTTGTGCCTGAAGTGTGTGTGTTCATGCTTGTGCATGTGTGTATGTGGGTGGTGAAGTGTGTCCGGAGTGTGTGTAGGTATCTAGGGACCTAATTGCACACTGTAGAGTGGAGTGGAGCTGACAGTAAAGGCTGGTGTACAGAGAAGGGAGTTAAGTAGTTTTCATTTAGTATTTTACTCTATTTTTTCTGGGTTGTTTTTGATCAACATGAACACTTTTGCAACAACACTCTGGACTGCCGGATACAGAGCAGCCCCACTGGAGCACTGATGGTTAATTGCCTTTTCTCAAAGGCACTTCAGTGGTGATAATGATTGTTTTGGATTTCAGTAGATGGTATAGGTGTTGAAATTGTGTCCATCCTCTCCCCTGTACTTTAAATACAAGAGAATCTAGCCTTTTCTTGGTGTAAAATAGCTGGATTTCACACAGCGTTACACTGCAGAGGTGAGCACCCTCACTTGGAATAAAGACCACAATTGTTACATGATAACATAAAATAAACATACAAAAATAACTTTGGAATAAAACATGAATATTTAAGAAGAAATAACCACATTTTAACCCAACAAATACCAATAATGTTATATGTATAGTGTAGCTAGTTCAATAGTATAGTGTGTATTATTCATGCCATCATCTACTAAATACATTTATCATGCGATGAAATGCATCAAGAGGAAGCTGCTTGACAATTTCTGGGGGAAAATCCTGTAGATCATCCACAGGATAGTAACTTGAGGATGTATTTAGATACCAAAAATATATGTGTCCTACTAGGATGATCTCAAAACTTGTTACTTCCTTGACCGCATCGCGATAAAGATCGATGTTCTTCCAGACTGCCGAACCTTTAACGTCATGGATTTAATAATTAATACATCTGTAAAAAATAGGTCATGTTTTTAATGTTCTGTATGAATCAGACTCTATGATGGCTGTATGCTGGGAGCCATATGCTGTGGACACTGAGAGTAACTAAGTAAGAGGCATCTCACCTTATATGGGTTCTAAGTTTCTTTATTGGCTGTATGTGCGCTGTGTCTCTGACTGTATGTCAGAAAAGCCATAAAACAGACAGGTTTATTATCACACTTACGTTAGAGAATGCTTTTAAATCCAACCTTGACAGCAAATGCACTTCTAATGTAGGCTACATGAACAGATTTATTCTGTAGTTCTTGTTCGAAACATGCTGCAAAATGTAAGAGCCAACTTATAGTCAGTTTGTGTAAGCCTGTGGCAAATTAATGACAAATTATTTACAGCACCATTGTAACGTGGAATTAAACATTCCCTCTAGCAAGTGATTATGCAGCGGTTGTTATTACCACTTAATGATGTTATGACTTATATATCAGCCTATTTATAGCCTATTTTTTTCAATATCGCTGAATACAACAAGGCACAAGGTTAATAGAAGTTTCTTAATGACATGCTGCTAAAAATTCAGGGATGAAAAGAGTAACACCTGCAAACTGACTTCAAACCATGTATTTATTTAAATACACAACATTGTGATGCAAGTTGGGTCTTAAATCTTAAATACTACAACACACATGGATATATATTCACCAGTGGGTTGATGGGCTCTCTGATGGAAACTTTCTGTTTCTGTGTACACTTCAAAAATATAGCGCACACAAAAGCAAAATAATCACTGGTTCATAATATTTTATAGAGAACGTAACAAAACAATTGTGATACTGTCTACAGTTTTAATGAATATTATAAAGAATATTATATTCATATCTAATATTCTACATTGATAAAAAAAATAACTACTGTGTGACCGATTGATTCATCAACTCATGTAGCTTGGATGAATAGAGGTGAATACACTTCCTCTCTTCTGTTGCCTCCATCACAACCCCTATTGGGCAGGCTCTCCGTTTCCATGGTTACACTCCAGTAGGCAGGGAGTTGTGTGTGTGTGTGTGTGTGTGTGTGTGTGTGTGTGTGTGTGTGTGTGTGTGTGTGTGTGTGTGTGTGTGTGTGTGTGTGTGTGTGTGTGTGTGTGTGTGTGTGTGTGTGTGTGTGTGTGTAGGTTGGTGCAGGAGTGGGGGGCGCTTATGCTTGCATATGTCAGATGCGCGGTGTGTGCTTGTACATGCGGTGTGTGTACTGCTATGTACTGTGAGAACACTGAAGCAATGGATTCGCACAAGCAAGCAGACAGCATTTC